CTGCAGCGTCCACTGGCTGAGGTTCATCACGTCGGGCGCCTCGTAGATCCGTACGATGCCCTCCGCCGAACACGTGGCCAGCTGGAGGAGCCCCTGCGCTTTGGGGCCGAATCGGACGTCGGTGACCGAAGTACGCGAGTCGACGAGGTTAGTTCGCCGCACCCAGTGTCGGGTACCCCGTTCGCCGGGGCCTGGCAGCTCCCCCACTGGAGAACAAAATTTGTAAAAAAACAATGTATATCGATATATCGAAGTTTGAAACAAATTCCCCAAAAGTCGAAACTTGTATGAAGAGAAGATTGATGCTGAATATCCTATTCTAGAATGATGCTTGTATCTATGTTACCGGCAGCTTGATTATTCCAGGCATTATTCATATAATGCCCGAGCAGTTTATGAGGTGATCGACACTATCGGGCAATTCAATAATTTTGTATTTGTCTAGGACAATTTATTTTTTTGCAGAAGGGATATATTCTTTCCTGCCTGAAAAAAGTTCTGTCTTCTTAGGAAGAAGGTTCATTCAGAATTTAGATGGTTTAAAAAAGTAGTCTTCTTTTTTATGCAGGAGAGATATTTTCCTTCCTCTATATAAGTTATAATTCTGTCCAATTCCTTCGGACTCTTTCAAAATTGCCCGGGCATAAAAAATAATGCTCAATTCACATTGCCCGTAATATCTGTTCTAATATTATAAAGAGGAAATATTTGATTCTACATTTGTTTGTATTGAATAGGCTCTGAAAATACTGGTACAATTTGAAAATGTCTTTTACCATTAGAAGCCGACATTATCCCTGATGAACATAGGGTACTTTTTACCGCAGAAAAATGCTTCATTACTGCGGGAAAACGGGTAATAGGACAACGGGTAATAAGAATTATGCTTCCCTACTTATCTGTATATAACTTCTAAATGGCAGAACCGATGGGGATGATTTCAAAATACAATTCACGCCGTAGGTGGCGCTGGTACGTTAACTACTAAACGGCTTGACAATTGCATTGAGATTGAGAGATAATGAGATTAGGTGTGAGTAAGTTTATAGTAGTAGCTATAAGCATTGGTATTCACACTCATAATAAAGGCTATAAGTGAGCACACAAAAAATAAAGAATGACAAAAAATATGTACTGTATAGATCTGCGAATAGCTCAGGACTGCAACAATTGTCTTATTCTTTTAAATGGGTACACCAACCGTGCGAAGCCGAGTCGGACAGCTAGTACTAGATATGAAATACGCTTATCTTGCAGTCAATGCTTGGGCAATGCTTGGGCTATCCCATGGGGCTATCCGGCTCGTTTTTGTACTAGATTAGTGTTAATTATATCGACGTACTAAATGTGTATGAAATGTACTAGAAAAGTACAATAGTACTAAAAACGGCAACTCTTGACATAACCACAAAATCCAGTGTCCTTGTGCCACATGTGCCATCCTAATCGAAAGGAAGAAGAAGAAGAAGAAGAAGATCAGTCTCCGTGTGCTTGTCAGCGTTGCCAGACCTACTGTTTCAACAGTAGATCTACTGCTTTTGTCCCCGTTCTACTGTTTTGTTTCAGGCATAAAACCTACTACAGTTTTTTCGAAACTGGGAAATGGCAAGATTTCAGACAAGCGGTCTTGGAAATTAGGCTTCAGAGTTGATAAGGTTTGGTTTGCAGTTATAAAGTATCGTTTTGGAGACTAGTCAATAGTATTCTTGAACTTGGCCAATCTTGCTCCTAATTTAATATGTTTGCCTCATTCTTCAAAAACCATAATTTCCTCAAGTAAATTTGCTGAAGTCAAAGCAGCGTCATGAGTTGATTACAGCCAGCATTGTAGGATTTTTATTTACCAAAAATAATGTATCTACAAGGCAATGGTCTGATGGGTCATGTTTTGATATGACATTACTACCTAATATGTTACAACAAAGAATTAATGGGGCATCACAGTAATAAGTATGATTAAATATGTCTGTTATATTTTAATTATATCTGAAAAATGTTCAGAGAAAATCTATATTCCTCTTTTTAAACAGGGTGCTAACTATTGATTGAATTACTCTTGCAGGTTTCTGCTTGGGTTTCTGCTAGTGAAATTTTAAGAGCATTGACATCACAACTACAAATTCACTACTCACCAGCAAAAAAATTAACATTCTTAAAATTCCTTATCTCAACAAGTGATAACAGGTTGAAGGACAACTTGTAGTGGAAGAAGTGTACAAATTGGCTAATGCTATCAGTAAATGCACTTTATAAAATATTTCAGGGTTGCAGTTTTTTTCTGGAATTGTTAATATTGAAAAAATTGTATTATTGATAATAGGACCAGGGAAAGGAAATCCAAAAATATAGAAAAATTAAAGACCTTTCTGTCATAATTTTGAAAATATTTTATAGATTCTTGATATTTGGTTCAACTATTGATAAAATATTCAAGATTGAATATTAAAATTATAAGAAACAATGAACTGAAATTTAAGAATGGTATGAGATAACCTGAGAATAACAATTATCCCTAATAGTTCAGAATAGTGGAACTAAATACAAACCTCTCAGAAGCAGAAAAAAGATCATGCAGTTTGTCTCAGAATTAGTGGCTAGATGAACTACATTCTGTTACCCATTCATCATTTATCACTATATTCACTACAATTGGATCAAATAGAATGTATAAATTTCACTTGCCAATTTCTTCCCAAACAGCTGCAGTTCTATCAAAGGAACATGTAGCTAGGACCTGCCCAAATTCAGGATGTGCCCAAGTAACTTTCCACACAGAACCGCTGTGAGCTTTCCAGCTGGAAGTAAGCATCCATTTTCCATCATTTGTCTGATCCCAAACCTAAAAGACAAATAGAATGATCAATTGAGTCATCATATTCATTAAACTCCTGCTAAAGCTTCCATTTTTCACGCCAATTCAGAAAATGAAATAATAATATCTCAAATAATATTAAAATTGAAAGATCATCAATGCATCATGATCCTAGTTCCTTTGAACTGTACTAAGTACTACTCGAAGTACTATGAAGCTTTCACTGGATGTAGTGATAATTTGTGGTCCTAAAAACTTTGAATACTTCTCATCAATAATAGTAATATAAACAAATCAAAACTGATGGGTAGGAATGCAATTCAAAAGGTGAAGCAGTTTTTAATAGGAACAGTTTTGTTTGTTGTTTCAACTAACCTTGACGTACTGATCACTTGAACAAGTGGCCATTCGACGTCCGTAATAGTCATAAGCGACATCATGGATTAAATCCTTGTGCTCTGCAGAAATTTCTTGTGCCTCGAACATACTTTGTAAAAATTTATAAAACTACACAACCTAAACATTCAACAACTTCAAAACAATGGGAATTAGGGCTTTTTTCTTCGTCTTCCTTTTCTTTATGTTTTTGCAATTACTTTTCGTTCGCTTCTTCTTCTTTTTTTTAATTTGACAGCTGTTCTCCTACCTCAGTTCTTCTCTACTTATTTTGTAGATGAAGGATATCTTGCTATTCTATTATGTTATGTTTATGAGTTCTGTGCTTCTGTGATGACATTATTAGTATTCTTCCCCAATATTCGAAGATTCTTGATAATACTTGAAGATTCCCAAGATAAAAATTTCAATATTATACCTGGTAGTTAACATGACAATAGCCCAGTCCTTAGTTCATATATGATACCATTATATCGACCAAAATTGAAGCAAACAGAACAAGTTCACTCACTATTAAAACACCCACTATTGTAATGAGAATTGTACCAAACATGGCGAAGAATATAGAATAATTATTCGCTCATTCAGTTCTTCTCTCGTAGGTGTACAGAAAATATTCAAATTTTCTGAAATATTTAAAATATCTACCTAATTAACTTTTACTGATTATTAAACCCATAAAAACTAACAATTATTTCCACTTGTATTTAAACCATTTTTTTTTCATCAAAATAACTTTATTCACGACTGTTTGTCCCCGCTGAATCATTCAAAATTACCTACTTAGGAACCACAAATGACAAAAGCAAAATATATACAACCGCAGATTGTCTTGCCTTAACCACCCATAACCCAATATACTTATTGATTTTGAATCCAACCTCACGTCTGTCAGGTCAGGATCCAGGACTCTATGCTGATATTGTTATATTTGAATTATAAGTTATGTTTTCAATAACATGTAATACCTTGGATATTTTCAGATAGAATAAAGGATGAATGACTAAAATATATGCCCTCGCGTGTATATTTCGATAAATACCTGTACACAGAGTGTTTTTAAAATTGGTGCGATAAATATATAAAATGTGTATAGGCATATATATACATATATAAGTAAAGGAGCATGATGAAAATATATCCAACTTTAGTAAAGGATCAGTGTGTCTGCTTTTACGTTCGTCCCATATGAAAATCTTTCTCATTATTAATTTTACGAAATATATGTCAAAAATTACTAATTTTATGAATAAAATTCTATTTTGAGCAATTAATTCGAATAAATGTAACTTTTGACAAGTAGAGAAAGTCACGTGACCCCGACCGAGTAGTCGATTTTTCATATTTTCTAAGCAAAACTTGACGCCCAAAAGTCGGATTTCGAAATCAATCATTATTAAAAGTTATTCCCATTTTTTATGCCAACTTCGTGAATGACACGACTAAATATAAAACAAAAATGATACAATGAATTGAAAGAATACATTTTTGTCAGGAAACAAAATCAATAATTGATTTTTTTTTTAATTTTTTTATTGCTTCAGAAAATGTTGTTCTTGCGACTTCGAGTGTGATTTAAAGTGTCATTAATGGCTATTTAAAATTTCATTTCACCGTTTCAATTTCAGAAACATTTTGTATAAACAGATATATATAAGTAACCAACAAAATAATTTTGAAAATCTATAAGACAATTAAGATTAAAAAGCGAATGCATGGTTGATTGACTCTTCAACAATAAAGGATACTACATACTCTGCAGTTTGTAATTGTGAGAAATAAAAATAATCGATTCAACGAGAAAATGACAATATTTATTATTTTTGTATTGACACAAGCAATTGAGTTAAAAATTACACGAAATAAAACGAATGATAATCACCTTAAAATACAATACATATATACTTATTCACTGTCTCAAATCGATGTTCCTATATGTATCATCTTTCATTCAATACTTTTTGTTTTTCTCATCAGCATGCCTTGTTGACGGTTGTCCAAATCGAATACCTATACTAGGAGTCATTTTTCACTTTGCATCTTGAACTAAAACAAAACGATTCGAAAAATTGAACACTCAAATGTTCAATACAGGGTGATTTATAATGAATTATTCACAAAGCAATGGTGGACCGACGGCAATTATTATTGATTATGTAAGTACAGGCGGGTGTCATATATATCGATATTGTATAGGTACTATGATAGCTGGTGATGAGAAAGTTCATGCCTCATCAGAAAATCATAACTTGACCTCAGTAAAAACATCAAAAGGTTTTCGAGATATATTGAATAAACTTTCATGAAAAAATGATTTCCTACATTTTCATGTTCCAAGCTATAATGACGAGTGTCTTATAGAAGAATATCTTGAACACCTCCGACATAATCGATCAAAACATCAAAAAATCATACCTTTGGTATTACTCGCCTCACCAACATCTTCAGCCTACCCGGCTTTTTCTCCTCTTCGTCATTCCCCCCATGATATTCCTGCCTATCAGTCAAATGAATCAACTCCATTTCCTCCCCCAATCTGTCCTTCTCCTGTTCCATCTTAGCAAAATCCCTCAAGCCACTCAACGATGAAACTTCGCTAGAAGAAGACAGATAATCGCTAGAACTCGCCGGAAAAGAAGAAGAACCGCTGTCGCTCAACTCTCTCATTTTTCTTTTCATTGGCCGTTTGCACGTACAGAACACAGCGTCGGCGTTCGTGGCAGAGTTCCTCGGCAACGTTATCAGAGATGTTTCCTCGAAGTATTCGATGCCATCTTCATTGTCCGTGTCGAAACAATGACACAGTATCGACTCGGGTACTTTCTTCTTCTTTTTTCTTCGCTTGGTCTTCTTCTTCATACCGTCTTCTTTCTTGGCGCCCACAAATTCAACGTGTCTCTCAGCTTTCGACAGGTTGATTGTCTCGCCTGAAATGACCGTGCCTATGGATTGTTGAGGTTGTGTACCTTTCGTATCTGTGGACTGTGTTGGTTGAGCGCTGTCAGGAACGGTTGGCGGTTCCTCTCGGAAGCTATCCATGCTCGCATAGTCAAGGGTGGCTTGTTTTTCGATGTCTCTGGAGAAGATTTCCAAGGGCGGGGGAGGTTCTTCCCTATTCTTGTCGAATTGGTAGGAGTATGAATAGTCTGTCGATGTGGTGGTAGAAGAAGTGTCGTCAGTGGAACTGAAATAGTCTGAGATGCGATCTGTTTCGGAGTCTGAAAGGTTGATTTCATCGAGAAGAGGAACACTTTCTGTTGGTTCGTCTGTAGCAAGAGATTTGCTAGGTTGCTTCAATATTTCAACTTTGTTGGGTTGAGACTCCGTTATATCTTCTTCAGAAGGTTGTTTGGAACATTTTGGAAAGATCGACCACAATTTTCTCCTCTTCTGCTCCAAATTCTTTTTATGTAAGGGCAAGTGGGGTTCTCTTTCCTCGGCGGATTTCGAACAACTCTTGAAGAGTGACCATTTCGCAGGTTTTTCACGATATTGGCTCGAGTCATCACTAGTTTTCATTCTTCTTTTTGGTTGCTTGATGGTTTTCTGTTTGACGAGTTTTTTCACACGGGGCACTTGCTGTTCGTCTGCCGAAGAATCTCTAAACAAAAATATAAAGTATACTTCCACAAATCGAACAGACCGCCAAGAACAGGTACTTGAGGTAGCACCATTATTTCAATATTCGAAATATTATTTGCAGTGTCTACACTTCCAACTTCTTTCTTAAACTGGGTCACAACTTTTTTTTACAAATGAATTGAAATTTGAATACATTTTGTTTGTCACTTGTGTTTGCAACTAAGTAGGTAACTAGACAGAACTATCTGTTCCATTACTAATAAATGTGAAATAATATGAATGTGTTGGGATTATCCTCTTGTCAGTCTGTAGTTTCGCCGCTGTTGCTATCTTTCTACAAGATACAAAAAAAAATGGTATTTTCAACACTTACTTCTCCTCACTGAGATCTGATAAATCGCCATATTCGATTGGAGACAGACAAACTGTGCACAAATTTCTCAAATCTGCAAAACACTGTTCGCAATAAATTCCAGCACAGCCAGGTGTGTGGCATCTGATCGGTTTCTGTCTATCGTTTTCCCGAAAAACTGTTCCGCACAGTAAACAAGCTATTTGGGGTTTATCGAAACACACAGCAAAAATCCTGAAAAAATTACTACTTTTATTTAATAACTGAATCCATCTGGATAACAGGTTGAATTCATGTGTCTACAAAATATCTAGAAAATCCATCTCCCATTTATTTAAAAATACCCTGTACGTTCGGGACAACCAATATGTTACCTGAAATGAGCCGAGAGAAATTCTTTGCAGGTAACCTTCTCTATGTCTTTGCTACCGAAAGTTTTCCTTCTCAATTGGCGTCTGGCGAATTTCAAAAAAGAGCTTCTCGATCTCAAAATGTGGTTATACAACCAAATGGATCTTTGCTTGGCTCTGGTGGGATGGTAGTAGCTCATTATGACGTTTCTCATACGCAGACCATACGGTTCTAGAAGTGTTAACACCCAGCATAGTATCAATAAGGTCCCTAAAATTCCGAAATAATATTTCAGGAAATGATAGGTAATATAGTTATTTACCTAACAAGTGCGGAAACTAGTACTTTTCCGCAATAGTTAGGCACAAAGTGTTTCCGACGAGTTTTTTTGTCCATATTATTTATGAAAAAAACAGGTTTTCAATGAAGAATATTTTATAAAGATACTACAAATTGACACAAGACAGAATAGTTACATGGATCATTTAGTTAGTCCTAAATATTCTTATTTTCAACAATACAAAAATCGTGAGGAATAGTAACCTTTAAATAACGATGGTAAATATTGAAATTGAAAGTGCAATTTGTGTTTGTTGCATGCTGTAATATAGCAGATGCCGCAACATCTTGAATAACGAAAAATGATGTGGAAAAGTTAAGTAACTTTTCCGCACGCTCGTAGGAAACAATATATTTATACCTATAATATTTATAATGCAAGTCTCTTAAAATATCTACTGACTATTGAAACTGAAAATTCCTATTCTAAATTTATAAATTCAATTTGTGTCATATCATACATATTATCTTGAACGATTAAGTTGCTGTATCTCAAATCTGAGATTACTAAAGATTACTATCAAATAATATATTTAAGATAATTATCTCGAAATTTTCTGCAGGTATACCTCTAGTTGATGATTGAATATGATGACTCCACATTTCAAAATTCCATTTCCAATAATATTCACTACTATTTCAGAATATTTATATCTATAGTAACGTATATGGTCCGAAAGTTTTGGGAAAAAAACTCACCTGGTTTGATTGAGTGACAAAATGCATTTAATCAAGCAGGCGTGGTAATTAAATGTCACCCGTCTTGTCATCTAAATAAGCAATGCAAAAGTTGTTGGTTTGCGCTTACCAAAATGTCTTATAAAATTGACCTTCGTCGAGGTATTTATAATCTCGTTGGGCGAATGACGAAACGAGAGATTGTCGATATTTTTCAAGATCAGAACATAAAAATCGACAATATATCGTACAATTGAAGATTCTGAAGAATGGATACCAATTAAGAGAGCGGAGACTGTGTGTTTAAGACCCTATCAAGGCACAATGTTTTGTTCCGGAAAAGGAGAAAAGCTCCAAAATACACAGAGGCTCAGTTAGAAAGAATTCCAAGATGTTGCCGCGCGTTGAGGCGAGTGCATTTTGCCAACCAGTTGATCGTGATGGACGACGAAAAATATTTCACTTTGGCCAACTCTGAGATGAAGGACAATGATGGTTTCTACACGGACGATCACGCAAATGTTCCTAACGATGTGAGATTCAAGAGCAAAAAGAAGTTTGAGGACAAAATTTTGGTATGGTGTGCCATTTCTGAGGCTGGATTAATTTCACAGCCCTACATTGGCGTTGTTCGTGGTGAGGCCTTAAATGCAGAGCGATATATTGACAGATGTCTTTCTAAATTGCTTCAGTTTTTAAATTCAAATCATACGAATGACGAAATTATGTTTTGGCCAGATCTTGCTTCATGCCATTATGCTAGAATCACAAGGGATTGGTATGGGGCCAACAACATCAACTTTGTACCGAAAGTGGACAATCCCCCCAACCTACCTCAGGCACGCCCAATTGAAGACTTCTGGGCAATATTGAACCAGAAAGTCTACAATAACGGATGGGAAGCACAAAATCAAGAACAACTCCGACGTCGTATATCAGGAAAAATCAGAGAAATCAACGCTGGGGTCGCCCAAAGGATGATGCAACGCGTCAGAGGAAAACTCAGGCAGATCGAAGACAACGGTCCCTTGTCGATTATTTGAACCTTAGATAGTGATATGAATAGTTAAGAGATATTGTAAGATTATTTGTTAAGATTATAAAAATTTATTTCTAAGAGTTGTCAGCATCTAATTTTTTTCCCAAAACTTTCGAACCATACGTTATGCAACTACCACTCGAAACCAGTATTATGTTTCGGAAGATTATTGAAAATCTGGAAGTGGAAAAAAGTTATACATATCAGTGAATCATGAAATCAACAAAGATTAACTTTGTAACTTTCAGAGTGTACGAAATTTTCTCTATATCTAATTAATAAGAACATTTATCTTGAACATTTTGGTAGATATCTCGAAATATTACAAAGATTCAGAATAAAAAATGTACTCACCTATTTGGAGATATCTATCGTAATCAGGAGGTATGGGAGTAGGTAGACAAGGTACTGTATCGATCTCAAGTTGAAGCCCCATTGGTTGAAACGCTTTAACTATACTTTTCAACAGATCCGCCAAAATCCCGTTACCACTGATGTGTGCAGTGGGAATATTAGGAGCTGAAAAGTGAACAGACATTTTCGATCTTTATTTTCTTGAATGCTCTGCCCTCTCAAAGGCAAACGAGTTTCGATAAAGAGTTGTTCGGCATATTATATCGAGGTTGGAGACAAACACTGTGCTGACTGAGCTTGTCAAGTTTCTCTGACTGGTATTACTATTTTGTAGATCATGAAAAGCTGGTGAGCTTTTTTCTCGGAATAAAAACCTGTGTGATCTTCATTAACACAGATGACCTGCCTTCGTAGTGAGTTCCTAGTTTTGTTTATCTCATCTTTTCGGGTGCACGAAAGGGAATTCCTATAATGTTCTAAGAACATCGTGCGTACCTACCTAGAATATTCTGCCTGGTTTGGGTAATTTGAGAAACTCTCAATGAGGAGTTTTTCTCATTTCTCCAAAAGGAATAAATACTGTCACGAATGTGACTTATTTTCTTTGCTAGTTGGGATTTGCTGAGGGTTGATATCAAATAGAAGGGCCACAGATTGAACAAAAAAAAAACAATTATGGAATTATTAATGATGAAATACAATTTTGACATTTTTTGAAGAGGCATCAGGTTGACGACTGAATAAATTATAAAAATGGTACTTACAATAATCTAACTAAACTCGGGGATGTACAATGGGCTTATATCACAAAAAAAATGTATTTCATAATTCGATAGAACTCACCCAAACTAGCTCACCACCGCAAACCGTTTCTTGCTGTGAGCTCCCTACGTTTTATAAAATATTATTGAAATCCCCGATTTTTCAGACCTCTGAAAACGAGGCGATGATGTGACGTCAAAACCCTAATACTGAAACAAGACTATTCCAGACAGAGATGAATGATGATTTCTGACAGAGTGATTTAGCACGAGATCACAGTTGAAAGAATTAATATGTAAGTTGCCTCAGTCTCCGACGGGCGTTTGGTATTTTCTTTTAAGTATGGCGAGATGAGGTTTCTACGTCATAAGAGGGTCCGTTTTCAGGAGGTAATATTATTTATGTCCAAAAATAAAACATTCCAGTCAATTTTTCGATCGAATTATGTCGTCAATCATTATTTATGTATAAAAGGAACATTATAAACATGAATACTGTCTGTAGGTTAATCGAGGAGGTGGTACATTCATTATTCCAAATTTTTTGGGATTTTCTCTCCTCGTTTCTATAAAATAAAAATATGAATATTATTTCAATATACGTGTAGTAAGGACAAATCAGATGATTTGCCCCAAAATGTCACTGCGTTTAAAGAATTTTCCTGTCAGAGAGCCTAAAAGAAAAATTCACTAGCTTGTCAGTGACAATTTGTATTGAAAAATTTTTGGAGAAGAGAAATGAAGGAATATAGAAAAAATATCAAATTTTCACTTATCTTTGGACGTTTCGGGACCGATTCTGCTCCCGTTTTCAACATGAAGAGATTTTTTCAATTGTGAAGTCGTATAATATGTCTTGAAGCTTTTCAGTTTTCAATGACAATTGGTGACGTTGGCAATAATAATAACGAAGTCCACCACATCAAAAATGTTCTCCAACTGAATTCCTATCCAAAGAATTTTGTCGATAGGACGATTCATCAAATTGAAAACAAACAGGGTCAACCACAACAAAATCAACCATCAATAACGACAAATATAATACCATATAGGTATTCCCGGCATATCTGAAAAAAAAAAACGTGTTGGTGATAAATTTCAAGCGAAAACTGTGTTCAAAACTGAAAATACAATGAGATCAATTCTAACTCAAACAAAGCCGAAAAATGAAGAACAATCGTCAAAAAATTGTATTTACAGTATACCTTGTGTTTGTGGAAAGTTGTATACAGGTGAAACCAAGAGACCTCTTTCAGTAAGGAAGGACGAAGGAACATAAGTACAATATAAAGAAAAGAAACATCGATAAATCGAAACTAGCTGAACATATCCTAACTGAAGACGGACAACATATGGCAGAGTGGAATAATATTAAAATCATTGGAAAAGAAGATAACAACCAGAAGAGAAAAATCAAGGAATCTGCTTGCATTCATCTGAACGGAGACAATAGCATTGCTTCTTGTTCAGTTGATATAGACAGAACATGGTATTCACTACTAAAATCTGAACATGAAAATGGTAAATTCAAGATTAATTAATGAAAACATCCTGTAACTCCTTTGATTGCCAACGTCACCAATTGTCATTGAAAACTGAAAAGCTTCAAGACATATTATACGACTTCGCAATTGAAAAAATCTCTTCATGTTGAGAACGGGAGCAGAATCGGTCCCGAAACGTCCAAAGATAAGTGAAAATTTGATATTTCTTCTTTATACCTTTATTTCTCTTCTCCAAAAATTTTTCAATACAAATTGTCACTGACAAGCTGGTGAATTTTTCTTTTAGGCTCTCTGATAGGAAAATTCTTTAAACGCGCAGTGACATTTTGGGGCAAATCATCTGATTTGTCCTTACTACACGTATATTGAAATAATATTCATATTTTTATTTTATAGAAACGAGGAGAGAAAATCCCAAAAAATTTGGAATAATGAATTATAAACATGGTTTGAGTTAAAAGTTCTACTATAAGGTGTACACGCCCATTGGGACATCCACGTTGTCACAAGCAACCGTTCACTATTCCAACCATAAGTCAAGTCCATCTTGGTAGGTGGATTATGATCGATTACCTCAAATGTTCATTTTATTGAAACATGTTTTGTTACAAACGAGGACAGTTGAATTGCTGAGAAATATGATAAACTCGATAAATCAGAACAGTGAAAGAATAATAATAGTAATAGTAATATTTGGGAATAATTTGGAAAATATCTTTTCGTGACAATACCTTGAACTTTGGACTGGAATCTACCGTAGTAGTTGATCAGATTCAATATCCAATACAGGGCGTAATCAATACCCATGTACAGCAACGCTTTCAAATTGATTGTAGCCAATTTCATGACGGCCTTAGACAAAGCCTTCTTTTCTTGCTGCGCCAGTTTTGACGAAGTGATCTGGAAACTACGTTGAAATAACAAGACGTTGATTATACACGGTGTTTGCAAAAGTAAGGCATCTTTTTTCAACAAGAGGGAAAATTTATAAGGAAAAACATTTTGAATGTATGATAAATTGATATTCATCATACAGGACGTAGAAATAAATTCTGAATTTAGAAAACCTAATCACGAATCTGCGATTGGAGGTCTATATGAAATAACAAATTTCCATCGTTCAAGTTTGAACCCCTTGATTGGGTGAAAGTATTGAAAAGAATATTCTCTGATATAATTATGGACATGAAAGATGGATACATATAAAGGGTAACTCACGGTCGATGGTACGTTAGACGTTTGTGGAGAACAGGACATAGGATCATTCTGAAATTTTGGTTACTCACGTAGTTGCTCTTGGTCTATCGATCTAAAATATTTTCAGCTCTGCGGCGTTGCCGCTTCTATCGAAAAGTAGCAACAACTTTATTATTTTGAATGGCACCCTGTATTTTATTGCATTTTCAGATTCTCTCTGGAGAGCTGATTTCATCGATGTATCACACTTGGGGTCTAGCGGAAATGATTACAGAGATATAGGGTGTGAAAAATCGACATTTTTCAAATTTAGGAATTTTTTTTGTCGAAACTATTCATTATTGGTCAAAACGGCTCACATGTCCCTATCTCAACTTTTGATCAACTATCTACTGACATTTAATTGAAACAAATACAGGGTGGTGCGGAATTCAGAATCTTGATCACCCGGTATATGTCCCAATTAAATATCAGTAGATAGTTAATCAAATGTTGAGATAGGGACATGTAAGCCGTTTTGACCAATAATGAATAGTTTCGACAAAAAAAACTCCTAAAGTTGAAAAATGACGATTTTTCACACCCTATATCTCTGTAATCATTTCCGCTAGACCCCAAGTGTGATACATCGATGAAATCAGCTCTTCAGAAAGAATCTGAAAATGCAATAAAATACAGGGTGTTCCATTAAAAATAACAAAGTAGTTGCTACTTTTCGTTAGAAGCGGCAACGCCGCAGGTTACGTGAGTAACCAAAATTTCAGAATGATCCTATGTCCCGTTCTCCATGAACGTCTAACGTACCATCGACCGTAAGTTACCATGTATATAAAAAGAAATTCGTTGAAAATTTGCATTCTCTATGTGATGAAAAACTCAATTCTTTCTCGCTTCATTCAACAGAAAATAACTACTTTCCTGGCTATTTGCCACGTCGAACATTGAATTATATCTGTTGAGCATCCAAACTCATCAAGATCAGTGTTTATACAAGTATACTTCTCCTATACATTTCAATTTTCATTTCAATCCTGAACATATTGGTAAGTAAGTGTCATCGTATTACAGGAAAAAGTGGCAATGTAAATGTGCTATCATTTTTGATATTCTTCAACAAATAACGCGAAACAATAAATTACCAACAGTTAGTGTTTCTTCGTATATCTCCAGAAATACCCGGAAATTAAAATTTTTCCCGACGGCATAGTTTTAGTCACATAAATACGCATTCGCAATTAAGTTCGCCCTAATCTAACCATCTTCGTATCTCCTATGGTTTACGAGATCCCAATGATGGGTGGCCCTCGAATTCAAATTACCCAGTATAGTTGATTGAAAAAAATGCTCCACTTTTGAAAACACCCCGTATACAGTGCGATTCTGCCGAAATTGTTCTGTTCTGTTACCTTCACGTAGACTTTGGCTTCTCTATCGTTCAGTGGCAGAACGGTCTCCTTGTCGATTTTGACTCTCCTCATATCGATATCGTGGAAATCTTTGCTCAAAAATTTGTTGTCGAAGCTGTTCTTCGTTAGAAATTTGTGTCTATACATGGTGACCCTAAACAAAACAAGGTAGATGTGAACTGCCCGAAAATGTTAAAGCATTTTTATGTAGGAGTTTTTTGCTGGAATAGTTGAATTTCAGTTGTTAATCTCTAACTAAATATAGATTAAATATCTAAGGTGACCTTTTCGAAAATGTTCATAGGGTTGGTAGTCAATTTTGAAACATATCAGATTCAACATTGGATGTCTTCGTGTAAGTTGCCCTTCCTCTTCGCTTCTAATCAATTTTTTTAAAGAAACAATGGAGAATTGATTGGTTTTCATACCACTAAATTTCATCTCCATTTTGTGATTTTTTTCAATCGAAGATTTCTATTGCTTATTGCTTCTCTTCTGGTACAATGTGTATAATATCCCTTGTTTTTCTATTGTTTCAACCAAATTTTGTTGAGGAAATCAAGGTGACGGATCAATTCGTTTTTGAGGAATATGAATGGATTTGTTTCCATTTCCCGTTTTTTTTTTTAATAAAAAGTTCCTATTGCTGAGGTATGTTTTTCCGTCCCTTGTCCTTCAACCTAATTTCCTTAGAAGAATTGAGATGAAGGTTTAATGTATATTTTATGGAATTTGAGTCGACAGGTTCCAATGTTATGATTTTTTTCATTCATAATATGATCCATATTGCTCGTGGTATGTAGTGGGGTATGCAATATGGATATAGACGTTGTTTAGCTCTTATTTCAGAGTTATTTTTTCACGAGAATTAGGATGAAGAATTAATTGATATTTTTTTGTAATTTGAATTGATTAGGATGAAGAATTAATTTTTTTTTATTGGTTTCCATTTCATGAATAGGTATTTCAATTAATGTTCTTCCTATTTCTCCCCATCTGAGGTATGTATATGAGGCAGTATGTACATAGTCCTTGTTTTTTCTCTTTCTCATTCATACTATATTTTCTGTGAGAAAGAAGAATAGTTTGGGTATCATTCATCAAATATGAATTGATTAGTTTTCATTTTATGAATTTTTTTTTATCATATTCCCCATATTCTAGACGCTGCAAATCCAACGAAACCTTGAATTTAAACCAATGTCTTTGTCTGACATTCTTCTCAAGTTTTCGAGATCTGATGCATTCAATTCAGCCATTTTTGTAAATTGATATACCTACATAATAAGTATCAGAATTAGGACTAAACGAAGAATGTAACCAACGTAGGTGATAGTGGAGGTGATATAAATCAGGAGGGGTGAAAGGAAATTTGCTGATGATGAAGGATTAATCCTTCGAAACATGTCCTTTTGTCCATGACCGTTGGTCAATTGAATTGTTCATGTGGTGGAGTTGTGACTGTAAGTTCTTCGAACCCTTCTAAAAGAAGAATTTCTTAACGAAATATTTAGTACTGAATTTGAACCATCCTGCATACACTTTCGAAATATTGCAACCTAGAAAGTTATAGTTGTAGTGGTCGTAGTAACTAAAAAAACACAAGTAGTGTTAAGTCATGGAAACCATCCATTCTCAAAGTGGTCCAGTATTTTTCAAAAGGAGAAAAACAATAACTCTAAGTCGGTCGACCACAAAATTTAATAAAAACCCCTCAATGTGTAACTAGTTTCGGCCACACGGCCATCTTCAGACACAAAAATTATAATGAAGTACCTGAAAAATTCGAACAGTTCTTAATCTAAATAATATGGCAGCTGGGAAAGAACATACCTCTATGGGGAAAACAACTTAAAATTCAAATAAAAGCACTGGTCAAGTTATAGTAACAATCAATCCGGTAAAACTAAGTATCTTTGTAGCGGCTAAAAAGCCAAAAGAACTTCACAATAAGTAAAAACGTTTTTAAAAATCTACTCAAAGGAGCTTCATCTGCTTCGAAGGCAAGCCATCAAAAAATTTCTAATATTAATAATTGTATTGCATTATATAATTTAGGTTTTTGAATTACGCTTTCTCTGTAATGTTGTTGGTTGTTTCTCGATATTAATGTTAAATTGATATTGTTTTTTCCCAATTTCATTCTTTGAATTGTCAATAATTCTATGTCAAATGTCAAATTTCACATTCCCATCTTTGCTCCACTATATAATTTCTTTCTTTTGATGGCTTGCCTTCGTAGCAGATGGAGCTCCTTTGAGTAGATTTTTAAAAACGTTTTTTTCTCCTTGATGCCGAACTTACTTATTGTGCTTTTATTTAAATTCTAAGTTGTTTTCTCCATAGAGGTATGTTCTTTCCCAGCTGCCATATTATTTAGATTAAGAACTGTTCGAATTTTTCAGGTACTTCATTATAATTTTTGTGTCTGAAGATGGCCGTGTGGCCGAAACTAGTTACACATTGAGGGGTTTTTATTAAATTTTGTGGTCGACCGACTTAGAGATATTGTTTTTCTCCTTTTGACAAGTAGTGTTATTCAACTCCATATGAAACAACACAAATTTAAGTGTTTTACAATAGTATATTGTTTAACGAGCACGGAATGATAGACGAATGCTGCAATCATTCGAGTGGGAACTCAGCATTCCGTGCGAGTTATACTCTATAATATTTCTACGGCTGTAACAGATAACAGCGGCAAACAAGAGCAATTGTTTGTTATATGTTATATCCGTAGAAAAAGAATTGTTTCTGCATAGATAACGTGTCATATCTTCAAAATTGCCATTCAATTACCTGACTACCATGAACACGAAAAACAAGACTGCGCCGGAAGTCAGGAACTGAAAAATGGCTGTGATGGTTCTCGTTCTGTCTTTGATTTCGTGGACGATCCCCTTAGATATTTCCGCTATGCTCTTCGAAGAGTTCGTTTCGAAATGGAAGGAATGAGAAAACTTTATTCTGACGTAAAACATGGTACGAATGTGCCTTACGAATCCTTTGACTTCTGAAAGAAAATAAGACCAATTAATACGTTATATTGAACAGTTTACGTTTATATATGTATAAAAAAATGACTGATTGAAATAATGATTATCATAAATTTTATTATAAGCATCATTTGCATTAATGATGTCTAGTATTCGTTTTTACCTCATTTGTAACCCTCCTTCTCTGCTCCCAATCTGGTCTATTCATTTTTATACAGGGTGTCCGGAGAGGTCATGTCGCAAATGATAGAGTGAGATGAAATAATTTTAGTACTTTATATAACAAAATGTCTTTCGGGCTTTGTTACAGACCATGAAAGTCAGAATAAAAAAAAATTAATTTCATGTATAGGTTTCAAACGGTTGCCATGGTATGGATGATATTCGGGCAGATGAATAAATTCATACTGATGCTCCTTTACATACATAAGTTTTTCTCACCTTTTGATTCCTTCATCTACAAAAATGGTATACTTTATTCTAATCGATATCTGCTTGTACCGTTTTGGGTAAAATTACATTTTGAAGCATACATTTCAACCGTTTCTGCGGTAATAAAGCTTCATTTACCTAGTTAATGACCAATGAAGAAAAAATTATCAAGAATGGTTTTCAATATGTGCATCTTGAACTTCAAAGCATTTTCTTATTTATAAGTTATCTGAAAATCTGCATTATATTCGAGATAACATGTGAGCAATTTTATTGTGATAATTTTAATACTTCTTTCTGTACTTGTATTTTATATTATTCAAGTTTTGTTGTTGTTGACCCATACGGTGAAAAGCTTCATACCAAACTTTATTTGACTACTTTTTGCCTATCGTGTACTATTTATACATACTATTCAGTTTTTTACCTGATTTATTTGTCATATCGATAGGTATCTAATAATGATCGTTGCTCTACTTCATTTGTGAATGACTTTGTCAATGAGATTCACGAAGTATAATATTTGATTGATTGATTGATTGATCATTTCTTACGGCGTGTGCAGCTATAAGAATCCGATTTAAACGCTCATTGCCAATATCTACTGGTGTTTCACAGACTAAACATTCAAGATAGTCCCAAAGAAATTAAACCAGTAGATAAAGATCAGGTGACCGAAGTGGCTATGGAAAAGGACCCTGGGAAATGTGATATTCGAATGATCTCTTACAGCTTTGTCGAAATGAGGAGGCGCATAATACACAACAACACACAATACACCTCGAACATTCAAAAGAACCTCTTCTAACAACGGATCTGGATGTTCTTACAAAAAATTTGAATATTCATTCACATTTAAAATTCCACCAATGATATAGGATTCATGATTGAGCAGTTGCCAATTATCCCTATCCATACATTGATAATAAATGAAGTTTTATCACCTTTGAAACGATTGGAATGTATGTTTTTGAATGCGATTCCTCTGGATCGGTACAAGATATCGATTGAAATGAAGTATACCATTTTTGTGGAAAAAAGATGAAGGGATCAAACGGTGAGAGCAAAATGTGAAATCTGTCACCTTTATCAAAAATGATTTCCTCAACAGAAAAAACTTCGTTCCATCCTGTATATACATATCCACTGGAACGCCGTTCACGTATGGAGAGGTGCATTTGTATGAGTTTATTTATCTGCCCGAACATCATTAATACCATAGCAACTGTTCGAACGTTACACATGAAATTCATTTTTATTATTCTTTCAATCTATCTTTCTTTCTTTATTATTCTTTCACTAACTCCGTAACGAAGTGCGATAGACATGTACTGCCATTGTTTGGACCTTTTCGGACACCTTGTATATAACATATGATGAGACATACAGAGTGTTGCAAGAATTGACCAACACCGTACATGAGAAACAGGGTGTTGAAGTTAAGAAATATGATTATATGTTTTCTCCGCAATAACCGAGGCAATAAGTCATGAACGATTGAATTTTTTGCATTCGAATTCATTTTGAGGTCCCATCTTCAAGTAGGTAAATATTTTGTTCTGAAAGGAGGTTACGCTGAATTAGTCTCCCATATTTTCTACGCCACTGATGAAATTTCGATTAGTTTCAATGTCTTTGATTCCCTGTTCAATTTTATTGTAAAATCGCAACCTTCAACTGAGCTGAAATTAACAGTTTTTGAGATGTATAGAAGCTTCTATACATCAGGCATTTCTCTTTTTTCATCACCTTCAATAGCAGATTATTACAGCAAAAATATATTTCTGAGTGGAGATTTGATCAGATACCCATCAGTTCTGATTCTATTTAGCTGAGTATAGAAAACTATTCTAATTCCTTAACTTCAACACCCTGTATCTCCAGGACTAACCACTTGAGGATCTTCTATTCCTACCTAATTTTTCATTATATCATGACAGCTATCATCTATGGAGCGGTGTCGGTAAAATCCCGTAATATATAACTCATACACGTGTAGTAGGTACTCACTGAACAGTTTATGAGGAAAAAAGTGCTTGAAATTTGAATACTAATTACAATTATTTCCATTTGAAGCATTAATAAGCATCTCTATCTCCGTTAGTTATAATAATTAATGTATGAAAAACATTTGATTTTCATAATTTGCAGTGACAAATTCAAACATTCAAACATTGGTAGATATTTATGATATGGAGATATACAGTCTGTCTCACTTCGAATGCTCCTGAGTAATCAATAATGCGCGTCCAACCAAATTTGCTCATGTATTATGAACTATGTCAATATAAAATTTCTCCCAGAGATAAAAATGATTTTGGGCAGGACATGAGAATGTCAGAGAAAATTTGAGGAGTGGTAATAAAGTTGAAAAAATTATCGTCGAGGTTTCTGGGAGAAATTTGATGTTATAAAAACTGCAAGTGCATTTTCAGAAAAAAATATCCTCGGAATGCAAAATTATCTGAATATTTTGAATTTTATAACATGAAAAACACTGAGAAACGCGTGACGCAATCATTCGTGAACGTTCGTGATACCATAAAATTCGACTTACGTATCCATTCTATATTTCTGAATATATATAATATTTCTTCTTGTCATTTCGATAAGAATATGGAATGCATTTTCTGGATTGATCACTTACTGCAGATAACAAAGAACCTAACACACAACTGAAGAATCAGAAAATATGAGGATTATCTTTGAATATTCGTATCTTGACAAGATGAAACAAGGATTTGACGATGAAGGTGATAAGACGATATTGACTTCAGGGAGTTAGGACGATGTAGTTTGTCTTCTTCTACTTCTTTTGTATTTCTGGGAACTTATGCATTACACAGTTCATGACGTCATCGGACTTGGTGTTTTTCGAAGTCACTGAATTCAATAATTGAAAAAACAATATTTGCGATGATTTTAAATAACGAATGATTGCATCAAATACTATTTATTCATGGAATCATTAATATACAGGGTGTATCTAACCGATAAAATTCAAGGGGTGATTCCTTGTGATATATAGGAAATAAGGTTCATATTAACATGTGTCCTAACTTGCTTGGTTTTCGAGATACAGGGTATTGATATTTCCATAAAAAAATCTTGTTTCTATTCATTCCTCAATTGTCTTTTCATTAATTCCAATGAAACGTTGTGCGGTTTTGTTGATAGTATCATGGAGCTTCTTCTAGTGCAATTACATTCGAAATAATATTTCATATCTTTATTAGATTGAACTATTAAAATAACAGCTTTTTTACCCTCTGTGTGATTTTTTTATCTAGCTTAGTTTTTGAGGAAACAATAAAAATTCGATTGGACTCCAAATTTTAATGTAGGTGATTTCAAGACTTCCATTGAGATTACTCAATAACTCCAATTAGAATCATTTTGTAATTTTGGGGCTTTCTCAGTCTCCATCCATACTGAATTTTGGCACCATGAAAGCTTGTACAGAGGGGGTTATAAATAAAAACAATTAATACTTTCGACTTCAACATCCTGTATCTCAAAAACGGAGCAAGTTATCTGCTAGACACACCCCTTGATTTTTTTCGGTGTAATTTAGAAACCTGTATAAATTCGACAAGTGTGTACAACCCCATTCAATTCGACGATTTCAAGTGGTAAAATGACGTACGAAAATTCCGCGTTACCTACTTCTTATGACCACTCCGATAATGGAATCGCTGATGAAATCGACGACCATGCAAACTAGATCGAAAATTTTGACCAAATAGCAAACCGACTGAACGATGTAGGCCAACGAACACAGCCAACTAAACATGGAACCCAACTTGGCGTTGCAATCGGCTATGGCATTTTCGAAAACCCTCGAGCATCTTTCGAAGGGAGTGCCCAGTTCTTTGTTGCATATGCTGATGATTTTCGCCAAGAATTCGAAGGCAGCCTTGATGATTTTAACTGAAAATTGAAAAAAATCATGAGAATACTGGTTGATTCATAATTCGTTGTGAATATCTCAAGGAGATATTGTTGGGATCAAAATAACACAAGCTAGCTGGGTCGGGTAAAATGCAGACAAAAAGGTACCTCTTTCACTACTATTTGGCATGAAAATGGTTGTGGTCACGTGACCTAGTGTCAAGTGGGCACCATCAACGTTTTTTTTTTCATATATGAAGAGGGGTCATGTGGTACCCCGTTTTGAAATCCTTTCGATTCTCCATCCAACACCGCTTAGTTTGTACAAATCGACCAAGCCGTTTCAGAATCACAAGCGTTCGAAATTTACTTCAAATATCAATATTAATGAATGAAAAACCTGAATAACTTTCAATTGCAACAGAATTTCAAGTAGAAATTGTAACTAGTGCTCAAACATACTCGAAATGTTTATCGTTCACTTATTGACACGAAAAAATCGGTTTCGGAATTCAATCCGAACGTGATTTACTGTTTCCGAGGTACATTTCAAACGCTGGTCATTTTGAAACAGCTTCACCGATTCACACAAACAAAGCGGAGTTGTATAGAGAATCGAAAGGCCTTCAAAAGAAGTTACCACGTGACCCCTCTTCATATTTAAAAAAAAAATTGATATTGTCCACTTGATACTAGGTCACGTGCCCACAACCATCTTCATGCCAAATAGTAGTGAAAGAGGTACCTTGTTGCCTGAATTTCACCGACATTTCAGGTCCTCACTGTATAAACATGTGTCCTAAAATGCACTTCCTCCGAGATAAGTAAAGTAAGTAGGTTCCATGTGAGTAGGGCGAATACTGCCCCTCCACTGTGACCCCCAGATGGGTATTTTATTGATCATCCCTAGAGGTTACAGGTCACTGTACAATCCACATCTTTCAACAAAGTCCATGGTTGAAGTAGGGGAGACTTGTCTGAAATCAATAGGTTCTAAATTGGTGAAGCCAAATATGTCAAGCCTCAGTCTCTCTAAGCAGAAGCATGAACATTATATGTAATCGGCCGTTTCCTCTTCCACACAGCAGAATCGACATTCCATTTGTTGGTTTAGATCCATCCTTCCCAGGTGGTATCTTAGACGACAGTGTCCCGTAAGCAGGACTGTCTGAGTTCGCAGGTTACCCCTGCTCCGTGCTCCGTTCTAGGATCTGCCTGGTTATATTTTCCGATGGTTTAGGCAGGAACGCCTTCGAATGGGTTTATCCTGGTAAATCAGATTAGTATACGTGAGTGTTTTCCCCTCCGCCCAGTCCAAGATAGTTATTTTGGCAGCACTTGCGGTGATACCAAAGTATGGTTCTGGGTCTATGAAAACAGATTCGGTTCCTGTTTGGCGAGGATGTCGGTTTTCTCGTTGCCCACCACCCACTGGTGTCCAGGCACACACATCGAAGTTACTCTGTTGTTTGCACCCAGGCATTCTAGGGATCCAATACAAATCCATACAAGCTTGGAATGTGTCTTGCTAGAGACGGTTCAGTGCTTTAAGAACAGCCTGACTGTCTGATACAGTACTGTTGTTTTTGTTTTACTAGAGACTAAAAAGTCTTGTTTCGATCTCAACAATACGTCCTTGATATATTTAGCCTGAATATTATTATCCTGAGCTGATGACTTGATCATTATACAGGGAAAAGCCAAAGTCACTATTCCACCCCTTATTTCTGTACGCTCTATGGCCAAATTGAATGGTTGATTTGGTTTCATTATAATTCGGATTGAAGTGTGATCTTTTCCTAACACTATAGTTTGTCAATCACGTCCATATCTCATGTTTAAGAGAAGATACAAGTGTTTTAAGAATGTATGGCATTTTCAATTTCTATTAAAACTCGTATTCAATAATCAGAACCTACATAAACTTATTGACTAACAAGTTGAAGAATTAATACACATATTTCTAGCTCAATTCCTCAGCACTCAGCAAATAATATTAATCACTAAAATAAATAAAAAGCAGACCTGTAATCAATAACGAGTCATTTAACGGGGCATCGATTCGTTCAAATTTTCAAGTAGTCTTGGAGGAATTTCCCAAAATTCTGCTTGAAGGGCGAATCGTAGCTCTTGAAGAGTCTCTGACATGGCCAAGATGCTCTAAATTATGAATTATTATTGATAAAAATTTTAAAAATCCATACTTCCATTGTGTTAAGAACGGACGAAGAAGGATCATTCTTCAATTCAAAACATGATGAAGCAGAAGGTTGGAGAATGGTTCTGAATTATTGTTAATAAAAATAAAAAAATCCATACTTTCTTAAAATACTTGTATCTTCTCTTTAAAAGTGGTTATCGACGAGAATCAGAAACCATTGTGTTCAAACGGATCACACCTCAATTCAAAACATGATGAAACTAAGTTTAACCACTAACCTTTGCCACAGGGCGTTAAAAACTTATGGGTGAAAGAGTAACTTTCGTTTTTCCCTCTATAACGATCAAGTCATCAGCTTTTCTTAGAACCTTATATCCAGGCTAACATTCTGAAACATCTATATACAATGTGGTCAAAATTTCACCAGAATCGGACAAGAATTCAAAAAGTTATAGGGCGAACAATTTGTCATAAATTTTTGGTGGTCGGTTTTTTTTTGCTGGTGAGTGTATTTCAATAAAAGTGAGCTGAAGGGAATTAGGTATACCTAGCTCGAAATACCCCTGTTCAATTATTGATGAACAACCCAGTATATTCTTGAAATTTATAAAAGAAATGACGCAGAACTGTAATATACTCTTTTTATCATCATAGATATATCTCGAAAGTTTCAAGAGATATCTCCGAATTTTGGAGTTTTTACCTACGTACTTATTCCCATTATAATTCTCTTGATCTTCAAAAGAATTTCCTTGATTTTCTTCACTATCTTCTTCACCGTTTCGACAACTTTTTTTATGGCATCTTTGAGAGCATAAAAAGGCTTCTTGATCACGTCTATTATTTGTTTGACGGCATTCTTCAATTGTTCCTAGAAACAAAAGCCGTGGCCCTTGAATATCGGCGAATATTAGAAAAAGTATCTCACCTGTCCACAAGCTAAGGATTCACTCAAAATTCCCACGTTGTTCAATGTATTTTTAGCTGGGCCAGTAACGACAAGAACAAGGGCATAGGCAAGAAGGGCCTGCCTTCCTTTTTCAGAAAAAAAATGCGGTAGCGTAAGGAGCACAACACATCTGGAAAAAAACAGAATAAAATCGGCCTTAAAAATTAAAGAATCACTCGGAACAAGAAGTTTGTTATATTCATGCAAGAAAAAGATCATATTAAACTCGTTGCAGTGATATATTGAAACCGATATAACAGGGTGCATAGGTCGATTAGAGAGATATATACAAAGTGATCCACTCTATAGTATAGCAGTATGTCACCAGAACATCTCGTATTATTGTGGAACCATTTTAAAGTAATTGGAAGAACATTTTTTCAACTTGAACTCAATGAAATTTATTTCTCGAAAATGATGCGTCTTACAACCAATGTTTATAGCAAATGTTCTTCTTAAAATAAGGTATTTCATCAACTGCCGGCATTGTGCTGCTACAAAATGGCTCACCCTGTATAAATCATGTTTTGTTGTGTTTTTAAAAAATTTTGTTCATTTAAATTTCTTTTTTTTAAACTTCGTTAATTCCTTAGACTCAAGAGAAATAATTGAGGATTCCTGAGATTTGATTTCGAAAAAAAAATCGGATGGATACCACCAAAAATCAACAATAAGTTTGACATTTTGTTCTTCCTGGACCTTTCTATACCGATTCTGATAATGTTTTCTCTGAATTGTCGCTTCACGCTTCAGGTTAAAAAGATTTCAGTATTTTTATTGCAAAGAATGTTTGTTTTCATTGTTGGTATACTAACGCTGAAAAATCAAGTTAATGAAAAAAATGTCGGTCACCGTGTTAAGGCAATAAGACAGAACGAATCAGGGAAACAAATCAATGAAAATCCTAATCAAGACAAGAGAGGAAATGGAAAACTCAGATGGAAACGCAGACGAGCCATTCACAATGTATTAATTATATCGCCGCAATTAATATTGTGTTGGGTAACTGGAAGTTCTTGAGAAAATTTATTCGGGAAATTAATTATCTACGAATTTCATTCAACAAGTGTCCTTCGTCCATTGCGAATGGTTGGTATAGGTATAAGTATTTTTCATTGAATTCTTGTGAACATCGCCAGCGAGTACATACTTCACGAATATAGGGGAGACGAGGGGAATGATGGACTAACTCCATAATAGTGGATAAGGGACTGGCAAATTTCGAAGACCATTAAGTCAGAAAACGTAGTATTCCCTATGTTTATTGTAGTAGTTGATGTATGAATTAGAAAACCATGACTAATTGATAGCATATTCCGATAGGGTCATCTTTATTTGAATTTTTTTTTTCTGTCCATTATTTTCGCCATGAGGGTAAATGTAGACGTACTGAATAGTTTGTTCATTATTCATAGTAAATTTTGTCATTTCAATTGTGGACATATACAAATAGTCCACTATTGAACGCCGTTTAATTCATTTCGATATTTTCTCGAATGAAAAAATTATGATCGAAATTATAAATGATTATAAGACTGAATTCAACTTTTAATTGGACATAACATCTCTATGATTCAATGCGAATGATTATTTATAAATATTTATAACAATGAGCAGGACCAAAGAAATTTTTATAGACAATTTTCTTGTCAACCTGACGAGTAAGTAGCCTCACTTTTACTAATTTTCTAGTTTGAATTTAACATTTTTGATGTCTTTCAATAGCTAAAAGCTGATTACTTACTTACAGGTAAGCACTGATGATGACTGTATAGTCGAAAGCGCTCTGCTACGAAAAATTGCGATAAACTATTTTGCACGAAATACAACATTTTGTAAAATTTTTTGTATAAAAGGAATTTCCTTCCGTGCGCTCCAAGAGATAAAACGAAGTTATTGTTGAACATTCAGAAATAAATGATTTCGTCGATGTTTGCTCGATTGAGGATCATGGAGTTGAAATATAAATATATCATATATTTTATATAACAATGCGCGAAGTAGGTATACTGAAATTGAGATTTAAATCAGTATGCTGAACTCACCTAACTTTGGAGCTGAAAGCCAGTCCATTCACTAAAAAACACCCGAATACAGAACAAACTATAGTAGCGGTACCAACTTTGAAGTTGAGTTGGAACACGAAAAACATGAAAAAGATGTAGGTCAACACCATTCCTCCCATGAACCCAAGAAAACTCTTCAAGACGTAATTCTCACAGCTTCCCTCGTGTCGTAGTTTGAAGCAGAATTTTCGACAGCAAAAACAGTATAAAATCGTCTTCAGGGCCCTTTTCAACTTGGCTCGGATTCTGATCCCCACATGCCTGAATCTGAATTTTCTCTTCAACGTTGGGGTTTCTGATAAGGCTATTGCTTCGGTTTTTTCTTCTTCCAATTCATTTTTGAGCTTTTTCAGTTTGGTAGCTTTGAACATCAACTTCACGAAAGCCATTTTCAGATCGAGTATAATGTAACAATATTTTCAGATTCACGTCAATGTGACTTTGATAACAATGACTTGATAATGCATAGCAATGTCAACACAGTATTCGCGGTCGTCAAGGACGTCAGATGACGTTGCGATGACATTTTAAAACTACGGGAAAACATTATATATACAGGGTGCTCTTTGATGATATGCTAATATTTAAGGGACCGATTATTCGACCCCTCTCAAGAATAAAACCTCATATGAACATATGTCGTAAACGTCCTAATTTTTGAGATAATTATTCTTTTCCAAACAAACTTCAACGCCTTGTACCAACTCAACGAGACGATTTTGGTAAGTTGGCCTAAATCAACTTGTTTTCATCCCAGGAGTCCACAGCCGAGCCATGTCCCAACCTTTTACAGACACCCTGTATAGTCCAAGAGCTGGCTGCAAATTTCGACATTCATCTGATAACGAAATGATAATATAAGTCCCTAAGACATGTACATACATTGGATTTCATCAAACACCACCTGTTCCGATCACTATCCTGAGCAAAATGATTGAAGAAGTGCACTTTCCTGTGCGGTAATTTGCACTTAATTTTGCGATTTAATAACGAGATGAGGAGTATGCTATTCGATTCCAATTGAATGGTAGATCTCAAAAATCCTGTCCCACCCCCTGATCTGAGTCAAATCAACTCATCCAACTGGTTACCTAAAGTAAGATATTTCAAAACTTCTGTCAGTTTTGAAAAGAGCAAAATTAAATTTCAAAATCAGAAAGAACATTTTTATATAATACATTACTTTCATTCCATCCTATTCTAATTATTTTTATGTATGGTAGAGGTATTTGGTGATGTATGTTTTTTTAATGAAATCCAGCTATCATCGGTAGCTAGCTAGAACATGTGAATAATTATGTGTTCTAATGTTAGGTAGTAGTGGAATTAATTACCTACTCCAATTATTAAAATAACACAATATTGTAATACATCTGTAGTATTCCTAGTTATCGATCACTCTGTATAGGCAATAAATAACGCGAAACAAAGTAAAATACCGACGATAATTTCCATTCCTGTAACAGAGGGGTGCCAGGGGAAAAGTGGAAGGAATCCCTATATAAGTCTTCGCGGGAGAGAGGACACACTACTTGTTGATATCATTTGGCTTCCAGCTTAAAGAGTGCCAAACACGGTGTGTTCTAGTTTATCGTTGCGAAACAATAATCAAGTAAGTCAAACAAAAATTTCAAGTATATAAAGGCAAAAATCCCGCAGATTTTAAGTGCCATCGATATTAGTGGAGAATAATTAGTTGACCATAAAAAAGGGATGTTTCATTTTTCAAGATGTGGGAGGTATCCAGAACTTTTTGCCCTTATATGTAGTATCATGGTGGATCCAGTCGTCTTGTCCTGATTAGATTAAGGGATAATTCTACACTAACCAGCAAAACGATCGATCCACTCGAAATATCGATGAAGTTTACTCAATCTAACACAAAATTGTGAATCGAAGAAAATCAGTTATATGTCCCCAATATACAAAGTGACACAAGAGGGGCCTTTTTCGAATGAAACAATTTAGGGAGTGTATACCAGCTGAAACACCTTCATCTTCTTACTTAACAACATCTATTCCTCACGTTCTCTTTCTTCCTTTGTAACAATAACTTGATTTTTATGAACGAAACAGAGTTTTCAAAAAACTTCCAATTTCCACATACTTCCTTATGGTTCCAAAAGTATTTGAAAGTTTAACGACACTTAACATAAGGAAAACGGCCTCTGAGAAAGGAATGAGAACAAACTGCTGTTATTCTAATTGGGATACCCTCATTGAGGTATCAAATGTGAGTCTGGTAAATTTGCTGCCATTCTTATAAGAACTTGACACGTTCAATTGGGATTATATCTGGACTTCAAAGAGACCAATTCATTCCTGACATTCTCGGCTGAATTTTCACTGACGAAATTTCATTCATCACCATGAAAATATATACGTTGGAAGACTTTCCATTTCTCTTCACATTTCCTCACTAAATTCTGAGTGCATACAATTGGATCACAGTAAATCAACATTGTGGACCAAAATCCTGAAGTACATTTGAATTATTTGACACTCTCCCATTTCTATCACGTCTATTTTCGATTCAGCCACAAAGATATCAGATAACATCAAATAATATATTTTCATCACAGAATCTATGAGTTTTTGCACCTAGAAACTAAAGATTCATTTCATGCTGAAGTATAGTATTAAGAATAATATGACTCATAGAGGGATGTCTCACTTTCACTATATAAATTCAAATTATTAGGAAGGTCTCTACTTGTATTTTTTTCTTCTTCGATTTTTCCAATACGTTTCCACGTCTTGTTAAAACATGGTTTGGGATTAGCTATAACGAGTCATCAAACGAATTCAGAATTGCAAGCTTATAAAACGAAATGCTAAACAGAATCCTTAGCAAAACCGATCAGAGTATAGTTCTCCATACGAGGTAATAGCTGCAAAATCGATTGTAGATGTAATATATTTCTGGTTGTTGATTTTTCAGTATCAGAGAGATCCTCATAAAAAATAGGCGGAATCCCAATTATCAAATCAATATCAAAAATATCGTGTGTAACTGGAGTGTAAGAGAGAGACGAAAGGAGAAATCATGTCTCTATTTTAATCAAGATCGGCTGTACGAGAAAATGAGGAATATCTGATAGTTGCAATTCAAAATTCCATCCTTATAACCTGGAGATGAACCTCTGTAGGCTCGAAACTTATGAAAACTAATTGAGTTATTATTTTGAGATGCAATATTCATGCTATGAAGAATAGATGAATAAGTTGAATTTATTGAGTGATCTCAATTATTGTGTAGAACACATACTTAAAATTTTGGAGTCAAATCAAATTTCAATCGTTTTCTCAGAAACTACGCAAGATATAGTTCAATAAAATAAAAATGATATAGAATCATCCCTTGATTCTTACACCAAACATATTGAAACCTAATTAACTTGTTATTGATACCTTTTGTTTTGTTCTAGTAATCGTCATGGACGGAAAAGAATTCAGAAAGGAAGGTAAGAAACTTGAAATCCTTTAGCTCCATAATTTTTGTTATGTAAGTGATCTACGGTTTTCATCGAATCCTATAAGTCTTCCAGACCTGCGAAATATAAACACTAAATATACAAATAATATATAAACTGAATAAACAGAAGCAATTCGCGAACGGAATCGAAAACAATTGAACAACTCAGATGGTTTTATTGACCAATAAAGAGGGTGTCGCGCGACTCATTGGCAGATACATACTGGTTAAAGTGACGTTTATATTATGTTTGAAATTCTAGGAGGCACAGTTACAATGGATTGAATCCAAGTGTGTCAAATCGAAGTAAATAACAATCTTAAGAAAAATAGATATTGGTTTGGGAGATTTTATTTACAAAATTCACGATTCTTCTTTGGAAGACACAGAAACAACTGCATTTCAGAAAACGGATACATCTGACTAATACATTCAAAAACACTAATGAGAAGAAACAGCCAATAAATTTTAGATTGTAACACCATCAATAAGTGAACACAATGATACCGGGTGACCAGTTATATTCTAACCCATTTCAATCGCTCATATCTGTGAAACTATTCAAATTATCGTTGTGCGGTCTGGACTTCTCTATTTCGATATTCTTCAAGTTTTTTGACTGGTTCACCTTTTCACCTTAACTTCCGGTTCTACCGGAAACAAACAAGCAATAATCCAGGTATAGGGAAACTTTGATAACATTGCATAATCTCATTCAACCATTCCACAAGCAGTAGTTGTTTTAGAGAGTTATAACTCTAATAGTTTTCTAGGAGAACATAACTTGTAATACATTGTTAGATAGAAAAAAAAACAGTCTTTCTGAATGTGCAAAAATATACAGGGTGATTTAATGAAATAAAAGTTTCCCTATACCTGGATTATTGCTTGTTCGTTTCCGGAAGAACCGGAAGTTCCAGTGAGAAGATGGACACGTCAAAAAAAACTTGAACAACATCAAAATAGACTAGTCCAAACCGCACAACGATAACTTGGATGGTTTCAGAGATATGAGCATTTGAAATGGGTCAGAATATAACTGGTCACCCCGTACTTCAAAGGCGCTATTCATAATCATTCTTTCGTTTTATTCTGAGACATCGAGTTTTCTTCACCCTGTACATTGGGTCGAAAACTCAGACTACAAAATTTGGTTATTCAAAGCATTTTCAAAGTATTGGTGAATGCACATCGAAATAATGGTGAAACGACATAATGGTGGATGCACTTCGAATTCACCAAAATCTTGAAAATATTCATAAGTAGTTAACGTTAATCTATGGTAGTAAAGTAGAAAAAAGTGACAGGTGACAGGTGAAACTCTGCTTTCTGCTTTTCATTTCGGCTGATGATATACTTCAACGAAACCAAAATATCAGTATCATAATAAATTCGTTTTCCTAACAGAAAGGAACGAGAAAAACTGAAATGTGAAAATTGCGTAGGTTGAAATACACTCATCGGCAAAACTCTCCATGAGTATCAAGAGAAAATTCACCAATATGAGCTCTTCGAACCAGTCTACAAGAGAATTAGCTATTCAGCTATTTATGCCTTCTTATATCAAATTCGAAAATAAAAAATTAGAAGTAAGTAGTTTGAGAATGACAATTGACTAAATTTCGGCCTGGCTCTGAATTATTGTTAATAACAATTTGAAAAACCCATACTACTTTGAAACACTTGTATCTTCTTTCGAAAGGAAGATTTTGACGTGAATTTAGAACCATTGTGTTAAGGAGTAACGAAAAGGGATCACACTTCATATCTAAAGTCCCAGCAAGCAACATAATTTTTTGTCAAAGTCTATTACTCTACTTTGAGACACTCTTTAGTTATTATTTGAAACGATGAATAACGTTACTTTTACCCTCAATCTCGAATAAACCTGCAGAAGGGATAGGATGGACATAAATCAAACTATCAGATTACCTAACTGAAATTAACTATGTTTATTATCAGATGGATAATAAATGAGTGAAAGTGAATGAAAATAGGAGCTGGACCTAACTGAATGACATAAACTAACTTGATATTTACTGCATTCAAAGACTGGTTGAGAAATAGTGATAATTGAATATTAATCGTAAGAACCATATATCGAAGACTGGAACCTTTGGCAAGATAATACACTACACTGTTTTACTACTAACCAAACCGATTTATTAACGCCTCGACACGTGTTTCGCTAACTATGTTAGCATCTTCAGGAGAAGATTAAAACTCCTGAAGATGCTAACATAGTTAGCGAAACACGTGTCGAGGCGTTAATAAATCGTAAGAACCATGATAATCGAGTTATCAATTCGAGTAGTTGATAACTCTTCAACTCATAATGAAAGTGAAGATTTCAAATAACAGATTACTTCACCAGCGTTCCGCCTATCACGTGACACAACTGAACAGAACAAAACTCAAAAACGCACTTTCACAAAATTATGCCGAACATTACTTTTGCATAGTTAGTGTATCAAGTGACATGAGGAAAGTAAAAACCCAGCGCCAAATTGTATCTGGCCAATCATGTGATGTCATTCCATCGTTTGGGTGGTATTTAAAAATCTCTCAACTATACTTCCATCCAAAGGAAACCATGAATAACATTCAACATATGTTTCAAACCCAACAAGATTCACTTGACAATGTATTGTTCTTTGAAGAAAATATACGTATAGTATATAATGGTTGCCTTTGCATGGGCAAAAAAAAAACAGATCCTTTACAGTATGTGTTTGAATAAAGAAATACTATTCGGACCCCGGTCAGATGGATCGAGCTAGCCTTGCCCGTATTACGATCCAAAAATGATTTCGGGTTATTGGAAAATAAGGCATAGTAAATAACCAACAACTATCTTTCTAATACCATGTCGTTATTTACCTTCAACTAATATGACAATAGTTACTCAAATCTATTCTGTATTCTGGTCGCAACACATCAAAACTAAATCTATTAAAAATTAATTTGTGGTTATAATGGTCGTTACTCGTTACAAGAGGGTTGTAAACTATTATTTCGATGTGGCTCTCGATTTCGATGAACTGTGAAATTTACTGGACGATGTAATTTCATCAGCTCAGGATTGATTCGATATTCTAACTAATGATAAAAGCCTATTAATAGTAGCTTTCTTACACCTGTATAATAATCGAGAAATCAGCTTCTTTCCAGAATTAAAATCAGGCTGATAGTCCCAAATATTATTCGACAGTTCTGTCGAAATTTTACCAGAATTGGACAAGAATTGAGAAAGTTACAGAATGATCAATTTGGCCGGTGTTTTGTGTTGGTGAGTGTAGTTCAATCAACACATTCCGTTGAATTTTCTTCCAGGAAAAGCCGTAGTCGACTACATCGTCGACTACCTGGAAAACATCCGCGAGCGCAGGGTGTTCCCCGACAAAAAACCAGGCTTCATACACGAACAGATCCCCGATACGGCGCCAATCAGCGGCGAAAAATGGTCGGACATCTTCGCCGACGTGGAAAAAGTGATAATGCCAGGTGTCACTCACTGGCAAAGCCCCCACATGCACGCCTATTTCCCTGCCTTGAACAGCTACCCCTCCATGCTGGGCGAGATGATCACCAATGCGATCAATTGCATCGGATTCACCTGGGTAAGACGGGAAAATGAGTTTAAGTATGAAACTGGAATCCCAACAAACATTCATTTGCGGTAAAATAAAGGCCCATTACATTACAAAGGACACTCCAGGCGACCGTTTCCTGACGGATAATCAGCTGGCATTTATTCCACTGATGGGCTTTCAAATAGCCATACTGGCATAGGAACGATCAAAATATAAAAATAATAATAATAATGGATGATGACCAACTGAGGTGATTCATCTTACAGTGGAGTGTAGGCAATAGGACAGAGCAAAAATTCATACAGTCTACTCCACCAAAACTATACTTCAATGTAAGCAATTCATAGAAGGGACATGTTTCGAAGCTGCAAAGCTTGATTATCAGCAAAAACTTACATAGGAGCACTATAACTTTTCAACTTCAATTTCGGAATCGGTGAGTTATATTTCGGAAAAAGTAATCTCGATTTCAGAATTGGTTAGTTCGATTTCAGAAATGGTGAACTCAATTTCAGAATCGGTGAGATGAATTTCAGAAAAAGTCCATTCAATTTCAGAAATGGTGAGTTGTATTTCAGAATTATTATTGGTAGGTTCAATTTTAGAAGATGAAATCCTTTTATATGTTTGAAATGTTTTTAATTGCAAAAGAGAAGACTGTTTACAGTGGATGGAACGGTGTTTGAGAGCCCTATGTTGAATCAGATTAAACATAATATATGGGGTGCCTTCAAGTCAGAAGTGAAGAGCTTCTTGCAAGAGCATCGCCAAAGGGTCATTGCAACGCCACTATCTTCCAGCGATTCAGATGGAAGGCATCTGTGGATTAAATTGTTTTTGAAAAGTTGAATATTTTAAATATGGTTTGTTAATCTCACATGCAATTGGAAACATTTCGAACAAATATAAGGATTTTTTTTATGATATTGAACCTACCAATTCTGAAATACAACTTACCATTTCTGAAATTGAATGGACTTTTTCTGAAATTCATCTCACCGATTCTGAAATTGAGTTTACCATTTCTGAAATCGAACTAACCAATTCTGAAATCGAGATTACTTTTTCCGAAATATAACTTACCGATTCCGAAATTGAAGTTGAAAAGGTATAGAGAGAAAAACAAAGCATAATGTCAGCAGAAGTCTTCAACAACGACAGTTTTTAAAACTCACCTGTTATGGAGGAAAAAAGTTGTGTTCGCATATTTAAAAGCAAAAATGAAAAAAATGACCCACCCTGAATCACGAAATCTATGTACTATACCATATCCATCACCCATAAAGAATTTTCAATCATAATATCAAACCCCCTGTAATTTTTTCAGGCATCGAGTCCTGCTTGTACAGAATTAGAAATGGTGGTTACGAACTGGCTAGGAAAAATGATTGGTCTTCCAGATGATTATCTACACAAAAAAGGTGGTAGTGGTGGGGGCGTTATACAGGTAAGCCACATTCGACAAGAAGTACAAATGTCTATGGAATAACTTTCGTTCATTTCTAGATCTTTATTCCTAAATTAACTTTTCCAAATTAGAACATCTTGTACAACGTTTCGATCAGGTCAAAGCGGAGTTCATAGACTCTAGTTCCGGTAAAATTTGCATGAAACCGCTTAGCTTGCGATGCGGGCCAAGCTATACGCCCGGCATCGAGCATTGCCATTGCGGAAAATTGCAATGTTAGCATCGATTCCAAATATAAATAGATTCCGAATCGATAAGCCATTCATTACTATTCATTACTGATTTTTCATTATTATTGATTCATTATTACTGAATTCATTACCGATTCTTGATTATTATTGATCACTCATTCCTGATTACATTACTATTTGATTATTACTAAGTAAAATGCATTTCGATAACACTTTACTTTATTCCGTAATTGAGTTACTAATTCACGAGGTGCTGCCAAAAAAGTGTACCGTCCTCCCGACTTTGATCCTGCTGGTCAACCCCATGTTAGATGTCATAATGTAAGTACTGTTTTTTTTCCCAATGTTGTTTTGCGCTGATCTTTTTTTCCTTTTTGTTAACCTGCCATGTGGCAGCATCTATTCATAAAACTTTTCATTCAATTAATAAATGTTACTTTTCTATGAAAACTGTCCGGTCTCTTTATTTGGGGGTGAATAGGGTTGGATGGTGAAATGATCAAAATCCTCTCATTAAGCCAAGCGAGTAGCCAAGTTGCGAGCCATAGGAGGGCAACATCTGAGTTGCGACATGTGGTGGGCACGCCGTTTGCCAAATAATCTACCAAAACCATCTGAGTTGCGACAATATCTCTGTGAAATGCGTGAATTTGTCTTCAGTTTTCAAAATAACAAAAGGAATACACTCCTATTGATTAAAATTATTTGTAAGCATACGCCCCAGGCCGGCTCAAGGGCCTCTCCAAGGTGAGAGTAATGTTTCCTTTGAAATATACGGTTTAACTTTGAGGGAGACCATGAAACATATAAATCAGAGTGTGACCTTCGACTAGTGACTCTGGGTAGGAGGAGACTACTTCTACCATGGAAGGAAATTACTGAGAGGACAAATAAGCTTAGATATAGTTATCCATGCTCATGAGAATACAGCGACAGGTGTGTCAACCCAAGGGCGTTGACAGCCGGAAAGCTAGGGGGAAGCACCATAAAAAACTAGAGAGGAAAATCAAATAAGGAAAGTTTAATGAGAAAAATCAGAAAACGGAAAATAATCTGCATAAAAAAATCAATAGAACATCAATCTTCTAGGGTTCTTTGTGGATTCGTTGGTCACTTAGTTGACGAAATCGTTCAAGTTTTTGAAAATATGTTGCCTGTGTACACTCATCATTGCGAGGGTATTCAGTCGAGCTTCAAACATGGTGCTCCTCAACTAGGTTTTGATTCTCCGAAGGCTACTATAAATGATCTTTCAATTGTACAAGTCCTTCAAGGTAACACCACAAGGATCTTCAAAGCCTTCTTAATTTAAGAAAAAAAATCTGTTTTTGAAGTTCTTTGCTCAAAATGAGCGTTATCATAAGTAATATCACGATGTTCTGAATATTCGAAATGATTCTGTCGCTTAATTGTTCACGAAATTACGTTGCCGAGGGGTATTGCTGTACGGGACCACAATTGAGTTGACAATGAGAGACAGAATTATAAGAAGATATTCACAACAGAGTGGTATTTTGTTGACTATTTCACGTTCACGAAGCATAAAAAGCATTTATTAGAAATGAGTGATTCATTCTGACAAGTACAGCGATGATTATTTTATGCCAAACTGACAGACTTTGCATGGCTATCCATGGTTGCATCGTCGGAAACATCAACGCTGAAAGACCAATCAGAATTGAATGACAGCTAATGTTCTCGCGGTAAGCTCACGTTGTCTCTGGCTGGTTATTAGTCAGAATATGTGATGAGTGAAATATTCCTTTCAATTAGCAGGGTGACTAGTGACTAGTGAGTGTGACTAGACATCATATATCTAGTCCACTTTGTGAACTAGGTTGGCTGAATATTGGGAGGAGGAGGATTCTGCATGCCTGTACACTATATCATAAGGTAGTCACGACTCAAAAACCTCCATATCATCTCCGGAATAGATATAAGTTCAATGAATTTTCATTTATTTTGTTCCTTTCTTTTTTTTATGATTTTTGTTATTTCATACTTGAGGTTGAGGGTGAGAAAGCACTTGTCTATTCCTTTAGAGATCAGACAAAAGCGAACTCTGCCCTTTGGTAGAAATGCATACATTTTTGTCACGGTTTTGTAAATTTATTCTTGTTTCTACCAATAAAAGCATTCATTATTATTACTTTCAACCTCTGGGAGGGGGTAGATGCCCCACTCTGCCCCTCTCTGGCGACGCCTTTGTGTCAACCACTGCTCGAGGTCTTTAGGGTCCTTTGGAAGTGAGTGGTTAGACCTGACGGTACACAAATTTTCAGATTGACCAGCTACCGCCCAAGGTCAGAGAGGTGTCACCTTCAGTTGGACCTAGAACCGGTCATGGCCCTCTACTCCACTAAGAAGAAATATATTTATACATTCATTAGACCCCAATTTTTTTCATTTTAGACGACAGCTAGCGAAAGCACTCTGATAAGCCTTCTAGCAGGACGATATGTGGCGCTCAAACTCTACATGGACCTCTATCCAGAGGCCAGCAAACACGAAATTCACGGAAAACTTGTGGCTTATTGCTCGGACCAAGCCCATTCTAGCATCGAGAAAGCCGCTCTGATAGGGCTGGTGACTTTGAGGTACATAGAATGCGACGAAAATTATTCCATGAGGGGAGCAGATTTACACAGAGCCATCAGAGAGGATAGAGAAAAGGGTCTGATACCTTTCTGGGTGAGTTTCATTATTTCTGTAAGATTTCTTTTCAGTCTGTCGTTGATTTTCTCATTCGTGACAAACACGAAACCGCTAGGTGGTGCTGATAAGTTCACGTTCCATGTAATAGAATTGTTTTTTTTTTAATCCCTATTTTGGTAAACAGATCATCAAATCTAAGTTACATAAAAGGGAGATATCGAATAATCAACAAACTGAAACATATACAGTGCCGGATTCAAATAGTTGGCATCATAATATAAGAACAATTTTCAATTATAACTCATTTCGAAATTCGACTCGGGTGTTGTCTCACTTGACTGAGGTAGAGAAATGTTCTACTCGGTTTGGTCACGTGACTTTTGCGTTATGGCAAAAGTTTCATTTCTTCAAATTAATCGCTAAGAACAGGCTTTTTCGTTTGAATCTCAAGAGCGTTTACTGGGAAGAGATGTTTTCATTTTCATTTTATACATAATTTGTCTCAAATTCTGGCGGTCTAGCAACTTTCAAAATATGTTTTTTTCTTGATATTGATAATTGAATAATAGTTACTCAGAAAAATTTTTTCCCTATCAGTAACAGAATCGTTGAATCTGTAACTGGATGTTAACAGCAAGAAGGTGCAAATGATATAAAACAGTTTTGTTAAAGCTTCATTCATGTCAAAAAATTTTGTATGAATTGAAAAAATATTAAAAACTGGAAGTTATATTAGAACCTTCAATTCTGAGACACATGTGTGAGATGGAAATGAATAGAAACAACTTTGCTTAGTAAACGTTTTGAAATTTTGAACAATGAGGCCTATGTTCTTCGATTAATTTGAAAAAATGCCAAGTTTGACATGTAGCGAAATTTCTGAGTGAACAAACCCCCTATCCATTCCGTTTCTTCTATCTTGTTTTTTTTTATATGGTCCAAAAATACAAATAACTAGGTCACAATTACGATAATAATCTAAAAAATAGCGTTTGAATTCACTTTTCACTAACTTTCCACGGTGACACATACTGTCTTATCACTTCTTGAAGTGATTACCCTGTATATTATTTCGAGTCGGATTGATGTTCGTTTTGTGGCAACATTCAATCAGCAGCGAAGCCGCTACGGCAAACAATCCTTGATGACAGATCAAGAAAGATCCCCAACATCACAATTAATTGGGTCTCTCGGGAGGGAGAGCGCATCATTTCAAGCAGATTGGACCAATTAGTTATTTGCTAAGATATCTGGCAGCGTTCACTTCTAATCCTTTTCTGTGCCGAGGAGATTCATTCGTTCGTTATTCAATCGGGTAAGAATATGTGCAGATTGTCGCAAGTTTTATTTTTTCATCATTTATCTGAAATATCGGAGATTCGAACTATTTATTTCGTATAGCCATCAATACTGATGCGATTTTTTCGAGTAAAACTTTTGGCTTACGCTTCTTCTTTCATCTTGAGTGTGAAATAGAGTGTTATCGGTGGAAAGATGATTCTGAATAGCATCAAAAAACTCTAAAATAACGAAATTTATAAAAATTTAGAGCTGGTTTCAATTGGAAGTGACTTCCGATGTATTTATTTTCTCAAATAATATAGATCCTAGTGTTGATATATCAAATCTTGGAAATTTCCATTTCCTAGTCTTCTGGATGAATGTTATTCACCACCAAGAACTGATTATTGGTTACTGGTTATTTGTGAATATATGAAAGGAGTATACGGTTACAAGATCGCAGAACGTATTTTGGTAAAGCTTCTGCGTTATATAATATTTTGCTATCATATCGAGTATCCGTAATTCATATAACGACTATATCTGAATTTTGGACATCAGTATCAAATTTTCTGTGTACTCTGAAGAAGGTTTTCTCCCAGTACATCCAAAACCTTTTATCCAAAAATCATGAAATTTGGAACATCGCATAAACTAAAAAGGGTGCGGGTTCAAGGCTTCAGAAGCTATCCCATTTTCATCAGTTTTTTGTTTCACATTCTGATTTTGATTCAAAAGATCTGCTAATATATAGGGCATTCCGTTTAAAAAACGTGATCCTGACCCTCTAGATTTTTTCTGGTGCTCCCTGTATATGCGACAATAATTTCTAGTTACGGATCTTGTTGTCTCATTGACATTCGTTTTTTAATCAAGTTTCTAGCTATCATGGAACTCGAGCAATCGAGCTCCGATGAACTAATGCCCCAGCCTGTATATTCTCCATATTTCTCCGTTCATCCTCTGGAGAGGAGACTGTATAGTACCAACCTGCCAGCGATGCTTCATATAGTGCATGGTTTCGAGTGACTTCACTTTTTGAATAAAAAATTCGCTGGAAGTTCATAATCGTAATCTTACACACTATTCAGATATTTTACGTGAACTGGACCTTCAATCGTTGGAAACAAGAAGAACTTACACAGATCTTTGTTTCGTATTCAAAATCCTCAATGGACTTTTATCGTGTCCGGAATTGCTCGAATCAATGAACTTCAACGTTCCAAACAGGAATCTTAGACATAAATTGTTATTTCACTCACCATTCGATTTTAAAAATTATGGCAAAGAACTCAAAAGTTATTGAACGACATGAACATCAATATATTTGGATTGCAGTCTTACAATATGTTCAAAAAAATCATTGAATAGCTTATAAGTAGAAGGGAGTGGCATTTGATTAGTCATCGAATTTGTGATTGTTATTTTCATAGGGTTTCTAGTGTCATCTATACCATATTATATTCATGTGTAAACTAGCTACATAGCCATTGTTGGGTAGGTATACGTTTCATATACTTACTTAGGTGCTGGCACATTCAAATGTGTTATTCATATTTTTTTATATATACTGTAATGGGGTCCATCCCGTAAATGAAATGAAAAAAAAAGTATGCCAGGCGTATGAAAAGTCGTGCCAGAATCTCGAAAAGTGCTAAAATTGATGAAAATCCGAGTGAAAATCGAACGTATTCAAATAGGTTGATCCTTTCTTGATGCTGGAAGGACACTGTACATTGTATCATTGAGGAACCGACATCGGTTGCCATCAATCTAGATTGAAAATTGGAATTGCATACCCTTCATGAACATTCTTCACATGGAACTGTGTATCCGAGTAAAATAAGATAATGCTTAATATACAAATTTTACTGATTTCCGTGATGCAATTTTGATCAAAGGAGGTCATGAAATAATATATATTGTTAGCGACGATGTTCAAATCACCCCGTAATTGAGAAGAACACCTAAGGAATGCCTTATATCCCAAGCGGCCTCGATGACTCATCGGTATTCGTAATCATCGTGTGATCGAAGATGGAAGCAGGTTCAGTCACTAGTATCGTAGCATCAGAACGAATCACTTGTCGATGTTGTATTTTTATAAACGGTCATCTTTGTACAAGCCTCCCTGTGTTGAAATTGTGTCTATCTACGATGCCTCCATTTAGAATCTTTAATTCTTCTATAAAATACGAGGGTGGTTACAATTGAAGTGGGATACCCTGAAAAAAAAATGTCATCTATGCTGCACTTTTTCAGGTATGCGCTACTCTGGGAACCACTGGATCTTGCGCGTTTGATAACTTGGAGGAAATAGCTAAAATCTCACATAGCGAACTCATGTGGTGTCACGTGGACGCAGCTTACGCGGGGACGGCCTTCATTTGTCCAGAATACAGGGGGTGGTTGAAAGGAATCGAAAAAGCCAATTCGATAGCTTTCAACCCGTCCAAATGGATGATGGTGCATTTCGATTGTACTACCATGTGGTGAGTATACCGGGGGTACTAGAGGTATTTTCTGAGGAGAAATATATATGGATCAAAAAAAAGAAAAAAGAATTTCTCCTGATGATTTTTGTTTGGTGATATACTGAACACCTAAACAGCTTCTAATGATCTACGAAGCACAGATATAGCCGGTTCTAGAGAACATTTCTCACATATAGATTTTATCAAGAGAAGAGCCATCCGCCTGGTGGGTGATGCCACACTCACTAATACTTCTATTTCATCAGAACAGAAATGTTCCTCAGAAACCTCTGCCATAATTCCATCACCAGCAATACCAGGCAAACTCGACAGGCCCGTCTATAGAACGGCAAAGCTCTCTGGAATTTTTGTCGATGGAACTATTCTCAAGAACTCAACTCCCTATCCTCCCTGTAGGTACGCACGATGTTCTTCGAACATCATAGGAAAGAGAAAACTGAACAAGCTCCACGAATAAACAAAAAAAACAGGTTCCTCACAATCAATTCTCCATTGGAAAGTTCCAATCATGTTTTCATATCCAATTGAATTAATACATGAATATTATTTATGAGAAAACACCTACATAATATCAATACAGCATTCGACTAGTTTTTTGGCTACAGGAAAAATCTCGATGTTTGAAATGATGTAATACCACTAATCATTACCGTATTTTAGGGTTCAGAATAGTGGAGCACTGCACGGAGCATTCAATGTGAACCCTCTATACCTCACCCATGAATATTCAGGTGAGCCAAACAAACCGAATTCTTCCTAATATGCAACGTTTTATTTCCTACAGGTCTTGCAATCGATTTCATGGTAAGATTTACATATTCTGAAGATATCTCGAATAAATCACTCTGAATTTACAGCACTGGCAAATACCCTTGAGCAAAAGATTCAGATCGTTGAAACTGTGGTTTGTCATACGAAATTACGGAATTTCTGGTCTCCAGGAACACATAAGGAAGGTAATGTATAAAATCCGTAGCATTGCGAAAATTTTTCCAAAGTGACAACGCCGCAAGTTCCATAAGTAGCGACGTTGCCGTGTCGTGCATGTTTTCGGTAGCCTAACGAATTTTTATTGTACAGGGCGTGCGACTAGCAGAAAAATTCGAGAGCCTGGTGAGAGGCGACAGTAGATTTGAGATGCCCTTCAAACGGTACTTAGGCCTCATCGTGTTTAGACTCGTAGGCGATAACGTCGCAACGGAGACGTTATGGAAAAGACTGAATGCCCGGGGAAAAATTCATTGTGTTCCAGCTAGTCTGAAGGGAAAATATGTGATCAGGTTCACAGTGACGTCACCTAGGACAAATGTTGACGACATTGTGACAGATTGGAAGGAAATTTCAGCTGTTACAGATGAAGTATTAGGCGATAAAAATGCTCAAGCAGCTAGGGCAAAAGTACCTCTTGGAGGTAAACTATAAAAAGTATCTATTAGTTGTTGTGATGCGAATGCTGCTGTCTCTGTCTGTGCCTTGTCCTAATGTCGAAACATACCTTTTATTTTGTTATAATTATTGATATTTTATTTTGAAGAAACTAAGGAGAAAAATGAGAATTTCGGTACCAGTTTATTATTATCCAACGTACCGACTTCCCCAAAAATTGTGAATGGATCTTTCGCTGCGATCTACGATCAATGCGACGTTTTAGATGAATTCTCAAGAACAATCCAGCTGAGGAAGGATGCCAGAGATAGCCCGGGTAAGATTCGTAACTAGGATACATCCTGCAGAATATATTAGAAAAAATTTGTAGCTATGCGCAGGAGAATCAAAGGAATACTCATGTCTGGAAAGCAGTTCTCTTTAGACTCGAGACTGGACCTATTTCACGGTATCGAAACTACTAGGTCACTAACGTCAGACAACTTGCCACTTCTTGAGGACGAAACTGAAGAAAATAACAGCATTTGCTCAGGTACTTACATGAAGATCATAGATCTTTGATTCTGTTGATTTGAATAATTGAAAACCGTCACTAATCTGAGGCCATATTAGGCCAATTGTTATAATTCGATTTCAGGATCCCAACATTGCTCTCCATACAATACTTTATCATGGATCACATTGTGTATCTATTATCGTGGGGGTTTAAAAATTTGGAATACGTCACTCAATACAGAATACTGGCACTTACACAGATACTTACTCACTCTAACGTTGTCTTCTATTTCAGAAATCAATGAATATGGTTACGTGCAATCTCCTTCTAGTGATTCTTTAGAAGTACCATTTCCAGGACAATCTAGATCCAAATCTGTGGATCACCAGATAGTTCCTCATGGGATTATCGATATAAAACAGATTTGTGCCAAATGCGGTCATGATATTAACAATGGATTATCTCCAGATTCTAACAAGTAAAAAGAACTGAAAATGTGAACGTTTTGTTCAAATAAATGAGATTAGTGATCTGAATGCAGAAAGGTAAAAAAAAATATTGTAAATTAAGAAAATACTGCTGCAAATAACAATAATATCTGAAAATAAAATAGGAAATGAATTTGTTGACTCGATACTCAGTACTACTCTAATTGTGATGTATTATAATAATGAACAGTAATTGTGAGATTTCATATTCTTCTTCCTAAACCCCGTCCTATACCGTATATTATTTTCGGGTAAAATATTGCAATTTGCTTAGTATTATTGTAGGATTTAGCTGTTTTGTTTCTCTTTCAACTGAATGTCACTGAAATTTTGAGATTTTCTCTTCCAATATTCAGTTTGCCGAATCTGAACTTCTATTGAATAAGAATGAACTTCAATTAAGAAATCGAAAATCCTGGTCAGTGATTATATATATCGAACAGCGAATAACGTATCCATGAATGTTTACAATCTTCCTGGAATTGAATTTCCTATTTAGTTTATTAGCCATTTGAATTATAAATAACTCGCTCACTTCGAACAAACGCCAACATCAGACAATAAAAATTACTCAAACTTCAATGTAAATATCATTATAATCTTAGCTATTCTCTATGTCACCCTTTACCTGAAAACCACAAAATAGATCAAGAGGTCTATAGACAAAATTGTCACTTTGAATAATACCGTCATTCAACTACTTAGTATGTTGTTTAAAAATTCATGAGCAATGAATATCATGTCTTACCCAACTGTTAGGAACGGAATCAGTCATGGATCTTTACGTGGATATGTTGGCCAACATCATCATCCAACAATATTTCTGGCATTCCAGATGTGTATTTGTTCTTAATGACAATTCTACGAAGTTTCAGTATACTGGAAATCTGCCACTCGTAAATGTGAGATCAGAATCAGGTGATATAAATTCAGAAGTTTTGTTTCGTTATCATGGTTGTCAAGGTATAGTCATAAAATCCAAGGAGCATCTGACATTATTCAGGAATCTCGAACACGAAATGAGAATAAAAATGGAAAGATTCAACGAGAGGAAATATCTATTTTTACCAAGTGAAGATACGGTCGAGAACTTGACAGACATTTTCCAGTTAGATGCATTAAAATATGTTTCAAGCTTGGTCATTGTCCAGAAAGATTACGAAGAAACCAGATTTGGGATTTCACCCGAAACTGACATGGTATTTTCTCTTTGGTCCCACCAGTATGTTGGTTCAAAAAACAATAACAAACAAGTGATGTTGGATAGATGGTTCTCGAAAAACAAATCTTTCGAGATTGGTTTGTCATTATACAAAAATAAACTATTGAATCAAAGGGGAAGAGGTATAAAATTGGCGACGTTCCAGTACGAGCCATATAGCATAATAGGTATGATATTGGCACGCGGTTGTATACAGGGTGAGTCATTGAAATGGGAAAGTGAGAACGGCTTTGCTGTTTTAGATAGATGAACAAAAAATTTTATGATAGTCTAGGCCTAGGCTCATGAGCAGCACATTCCCAAAATGTTTCGCGTTATATGGGCAACTCAAAAATGCGTGACGTATCAAAGTAATACTTTTTCTCATGGGACAATGCATCACACTTGGGGTCTAGCGAGGATGATTACAAAGATATAAGAGTATTCAAAATCGAGATTTTTCAGCTTTAGGATTTTTTTGTCTCGAAACCATTTATTATTGGTCAAAACGGCTCACAAGTCCCTATTTCAACGTTCGTTTTACTATCTACTGATATTTAATTTGAACGAATACATGGTGGTCCCCTGAATTCTGAACTACCCTGTATTCGTCTCAACAATTATCACACCGAATTACATTCGTGGAGGTATTTTTTAATTATTTCAACCAGATGATGCACGAATTTTTGTTGCTATAGATATCTCACGAGAGTCAAAAAAATACCACCACTTGTGTTACTGTCGATGTTGATTATTTTATTCTACACGCCATATTAAAAAACTCGTCTTTCCCATTTTCATTCGAAATGGTATGGTAAATATTCAGGTTTTTAGTAAATCACAACACCTTGAATAGATTCTTGTATATCGGAAGGGTTTGGTAATAGGTTCATCCTTGGAGGAATCCAAGGGATCCGAAATGTCGATTGCGCTGATGTTTGCAAAACAGTACAACATGACGCCAATCGTCGTGATAAATCCAGAAGATGAATGGGGAGTCATCTTCGACAATTGGACAGGCAACGGCCTTATGGGAAACCTAGTGATGGACAAAGCTGATATCGGCTTCAGTGAGTATACCTCAAGGATCCCCTATTCAGCCAACTTCAGTGATTCATGTGATATATGAGTACTCTGTATTTTATGATATGATCTAAGTTGGGACGGCAACGATTATTGTTTGAAGTTGAAAGTCAGAATTTAAATTATTCCCAAATATAAATTATCAATTCATTATTAACTATACTGAATCAAACATATCACATGGTGGCAGCGGTAAACCGTTAATGAGACTGTTAACATACGAAATTGAATCTAAAGCAAACATAAGCAAGACTAAAAATGAGTTCCGAATCAAGATCACCGTCAGCAATGGACTCCAAAAACAATAATCGTTGCACACTTGATCAATAAAGATGAGCCAATCCACGACGATGCTGAAAATGCTGAACATGGTCATCGATATACTAGGAGTGGAAGAGAAATTAATAAACCAAATAGATTAGATTTATGAAAAGAGGGACATGTGGTATATGAGTACTCTGTATTTTATAATATGATCTACGTTGGGACGGCAACGATTATTGTTTGAAGTTAAAAGTCAGAATATAAATCATTCCCAAATATAAGTTATCAATTTATTATTAACTATACTGAATCAAACATATTACAATTCACACAAGACCAGCAAGACGAGACTTCCATAAAGTCTCGTCTCGTCTCGCCGATGAAATATGAATTCTTGTCTCGAGTCTCGTCTCGCAGCCTCAAGTCTCGTCTTGTCTCGTGTCTCGTACGAGAGTCTCGCAAATGTATCGCAATTTCGTCATGCATAACCTTGTTCCAGTCTAGTACGGCCCGTCAAAACAAAGTTATTCTTTATCTTAGACTATTTAGCACAGAATGACTAATTTATAGATTTCCAGGTAGTCATTCAATTTGCGATCTGTCGTTATTGCAGAATTGCCTTTATATTCCGTTTTAGTTTCACACATTACGTCGTTTTACAGCAATCATGGATTGTGTTTTTGAGGTATTTATTAATGAAATGTTTTGTCTATATGTGCTAGATAGTCTGAATTATTTCTAAATATGTTGTATATTTACCTGCGAGACTCTCGCACGAGAAACGAGAAGTCCTGCACGAGACTCGAGACGAGACCAATGAAAGTCTCGTCTCGTCTTGCCCGAGTCTCGTCTCGAGTCTTGTCTCGGAAACGAGACGAGACCATGCGATGCTCTCGAAAACGAGACTCTCGCGGGAACCACTACTTTAGACACAGGCATAACTACTACCTAAGACCGCTTTGGTCATTTCCCAGCAAGCCGAAAATCTTGGGTGCATTTTTCTCCTGAAAACGATTCTGCTCAATACGCAGGAACTCCCAAACTGTCGTTCATGACATAAAGTATCAAAACATCATGTTTCTTGGTGATAGGAAACATAAGTAAGAGTCAGTAAGATATATGACAGATATATGGAGGTCAGTTTGATACATTATTCAGGTTATGAGCCTGAGAGACTCGAATAATTGATGTTCTCCAGCTCTCGTGATTGGCGCAGCTTCTTTCTTTATGGCATTAGCGGTCTAGATTGTAGTTTATGTCAGTGAATCTAAGGTCCAAACTTTTTCAGGCGCGTTGTATACTTGGGAATTCGCATTTCACTATCTAGATCTATCAAAAGCCTCGGTCAGAACTGGGATCACTTGTTTGGTACCAGCTCCAAAGTTTGTTCGATATTCTAGCAATCGACATCTATTGACTGAATTATTTTCAAGGTTGGTAGCAGGATGGTTAACGCCTTTATACTCGTATTCGCCAGCGATGTGGTATGCAGTCGGTTCCATGTTTTGTCTTTCCGTCACTTCACATTTCTTCATACAATTCCTTCATTCCATTACTGCAATGCGGAGGTAAGCGATTGCTGTTGTCATCTTTTGGGGTTTCCCCATGAAAATGTTCAATTTTTCAGAGGTCAGTTCGTGAAGAAGACACCAATTCAACTGTTAGGCCAATCACTATTCGGCATCATCCAACTATTCTCTTTACAAGTAGTAACAAAGTCTGGACAGCCTAGGGGCTTCGTAGGAAAGTACTTCATGGGTCTACTGTTCTGTTTCAGCCTAATATTGTCTAGTTCATACAGCAGTGGCTTGGCCAGTATCATGACTTTACCTAGATATGAGAATCCAATTAATACTGTTGAAGAGTTTTCAGCAAGCGGAATTTATTGGGGTGCTACCTCAAATGCTTGGATATTGTCCATTCAGAAAGTAGAAGATGTAAGTCATCATTGGATATATTTCCTCTTGCAAAGTTTTATTCATGAATAATGTTTTTGAAGATATGAAAGTTTTTATTGTTCTTTGCTGTTTGGTTATGAATATTCCAGTCTTAGTGTCATTTCTAATAGATACTTCATAACAGGGTGATGTTTCGAAATTGGTGTAATATTTCACCATTGGCTCCTAATGAATGATACGAGAGTTAAATATAAATCAAAATTCGCTTCCAAGGGAGGTTTTTGAAAGAATATATATCCAGAAGACGGATTTTCCTAAATCTAAATGTCATTCACAGAATGAGAAATTGTTTCTCAAACATTTTGAGGAAGAAAATTATTTATTTTTATGGATCCGCTCTGATAACGAATAAACATGTCTTTCATTTTTTCAGCCCATCTATCGGGAAATAGTGAAGCGCTTCATATCCACCGATGAAGAGAATTTGAAAGGCTACTCAAAGACATCCAGTTTCGCATTCTCTATTGAAAGGTTACCAAATAGTGCGTGAGAGATTATGTATTATATAAGTTTATTTTCCCATTTACTCGCACGATGTGTGATTCAGTTTTGTTTTTTCAATAATAAAAAAGTTGCCACCTCTTTCATAACGCAATTTTCCAGGTAACTATGCTATAGGAGCATACATCCAAGATGAAGTACTAGATAATTTTCATTTGATGAAAGACGATCTTTATTGGGAACAATGTGTGATCATGACTAGAAAAAATTCAGTATTATTGCCGTTGCTTGATATGTTCATACTTAGAGTCTTCGAAACTGGACTCATTTCATACTGGCAAAATGAGGTTAGAACTCTATCTATATCTATAAAATCATAAAAGGCTATCAACAATGTTCATCTATACTACTAATATAAAAAACATTACACTACATTACAAAAACACTAATCTGCTTAACAAGTGCGCTAAAGTAAGAAACATTTGTCTTACCTTCAATTCATATCGAAATACTAAAATCAATAGTGAATATTTATAAAAATGAAGCATTTGATTTCAATTAAAAGGTAGAAGCAAGAGGTGAAAGTAAAAGGTTTCGCTTCAATTCGTATTGATAATCTCTACCTCTTCCTTGCAAGGAAATGCTTCCGATGAATAAAGTAAAGGGTATAGCCTTACCGGATCTGGTGAAATTGGAAGGAGCCAGGAAGGAAAAAAGAAGAAGGAGAAAAATGTAGAGCGATTATGACAGGTTGAGACCTGTATGCAATCAACGCTTACATGTGTTCTGCGACAGCATAGTTTATTCGTTTTATACTTAATACCGTATCCATTCGCTGCTCTGTTGTACAATCTGCTCAAGCACCTCAGGAAATATTCTGGAATCCACTTTTCGCGCAATAACACAGAAATACTTTTGGAAACTGATTCACGTGGCATGCGTCTTGGTTTGTAGTATTTTCTTGTACGTAAATGCACTATATCAGCCATAACAAACAGATCACTGGGACTACACAACCAAAGATCACTCACTCAAGCCCGTCCACATTCTTCAAAATTTGCAAATGTGACGTTACAATAAGCTGCGTGATGGTTGGGCAGCTACTGAATAGAGTATGAAAGGTTGTTGTGAACCAAGATTCCTTTTTTCAGAAGCACATCCTTCTGTTTTTGAGCAGATGCTTCTGTTTATGAATAAGAAAAGAGTTGAACCTTTCACTTCGAAGCGAACCCCTCGAAGCATTACCTTTTCCTTCAATTATTTTTATGCATATACCTCGAAAGAATTGCTTCATTTTTTGAAAGTAAAAGGTGATGCTTCTTTTTATAAACATGGACTAATAACTTTATCATAAACACAAGCAAAAGGTATGCATCAACAATAGTCTATTGCATTTTTTTCCGGGAATATTATCTAAATTTTAAATAATTGATTAGCATTATTAGTGGCCAGGTGGAATATTGTATTGCAATCGTATACATCTATTATAATTTTTAGGGAACAGCCCTTTACATGAATGCGAAGGTTCAGGAAGCAGTAAAATTCTACAGCTTCAATAAAGCCAAAGTCGTAGTCAAATTGAAATGGATACATGTCGAAGGAGCATTTGGTATTTTATGCATAGGTCTCATTTCCAGTATTACCATATTCACTCTAGAAATTGCAGTACACCATGTAATGATGAAAGGGAAACTATATGAACCCTTTATCCAATAGGCTACTGAAATGGTAGGTACTCAATTTGATATAGTTAACAAATGAGAATTATAAAAAAGCCCATTGTTCTATCAAACCAGTAGATACTGATCAGAAAATGAAGGAGAAAAAGTGGTAATTTGTGACGTACTCCCATCCCAATAGTATTGTTACGTTATTCGGGGGCAGAAGCGAACACGATACCATTTATTCTCGAACTGATGTATTTCAACTAAAGAAACACTAATTTATATCGAACTTATAACTACTATTTATGTGAAACGATTTATATCACGCGGTATATGACTGTCTCTCTGACACTCGCTGCTTGACTGACTGACTGCAGTTGTCTGGCCGTCCATATATATGGATACCCTTGGTAGGCTTTGCTTCTCGAACGTTCTGGAATGATTTTCCGTACCCTTCTTTTTGTTATAGAAGCTTCTTAGAACAATACATCTCTCTCTTGTTGTTCCATTGATTGTTTCCAGAACATTCCAGAATCTTCTGTCACGTTATTTGTCACCGCGGCATATATTGAGTGTTTGGAAATAGGCTGGTTTATGTAGGAATCATTGGGATGTTGGAGAACAATATGGGATGCGTGTTACAGGATGATCGTTGTACTCCTTTCCTTCCTGCTGATGTTTCTAGAGACTCTCTAGGGGGGAATATCATAACAGTACATTGATTATAAGTTATACACTATACTTTTTCTACGGCGGTAACAGGTAACCGCGAAATGTTTAATCTCTTCGGCTTGTAGCCAATCTGATTTTGTCTTAAGTAATGCCCATCCTCTATTAGACAGAGCTGTCATTGCTTGAAATTTGAAATTTTCAGAGATGATCGAGATTTTGTGAAATCATGACGCAATGAAGACATATTGTGATTTCAGATACAGAAATGAACAAAGTACCTCATTGATTTATCGAACACAATAAAATAAGAGCAATTCTGTGTAATATCCGTAGAAAAACATGTTTGGTTCATAAAAATCAATTTACATTGTCAAAGATAATAATTTAATGGATAAATATATTCGCGAAGAGTTATAGAATATAGACCCCATGATTCAAAATAAGACTTTTTCTTTATATAAACATTCGTCCTAAAATTCACCCTCTCCAAACTACAGCCACTGTAAATTAGGTAAAGAAAAAAGAAATTCTGAAATTGTGACTGAAATATCGGATCAAATCTTCTGAAAATCAGCAGGCCCCTGTCCTCTTATACACTTCATTCAAATCTTTCTACAAAAATTATGTAAACCCAGTTTGGGGGGGGGGGGAGTTGGAGAGGGGTCCTCACTTTCATTGGCCGAAATTGGGTGCATGTTAGGACACATGTCCATATGAAAAAAATGTCTTATTTCGAACCCAACAATACGTCCTTGAATTATTCACATCGAATTTTGTATCACCCTATATAGTGAAATTTATCTGCCTTTTTTTGTCCTTATAACAATCTAAATTCCTTGGGAATATAAGTTTCAGCCAATTTTCAAAAATGCACACTTTAGAAAAACATTTAGGTCACACAGTATAGTGATGAATCAACCAATAAGAGATCATTTTCAATATAAGCGTAACATATTGAAAAACAGCCTATAATACGTATAGCTTGTTTTGGGATTATGTTCCTTTAGCTCCACTAACTATGCCGCGTTATAAAAATAAAAAATTAAACTTTGCGAAATTATAAAAGTGTATTATTTCTTTCCTTTCAAAAATTCATAAACAACAGAAAAGTCTTTGTCTCCATAACCATTTAGGATGAGGGCCCTGTATAGTTGATGGGCCATAGCCCCTAGCATGAGTGGAGTCCCGCAACTAAGGGCAGCTGCTTCCGCAAGTCCCAAGTCTTTGGCTATCAAAGGCACACTAAATCCACCAGCATATCTAAAGAAAAATAGGAAAAAAAAATCAGCACCTAGAATAAAGAATCTGCGATCGTCGAGAAAGCCTAATTTTCCGCACGCATTACCCTTCCTCAGTTTATTATTCCATCCATGACGATCACTTATGAATAATAAACAGAAGGAATACCAGGGGAAACCAGAATTTTTATACCAGCAAATATCTGGGTTATCTACCATTTGAAAAATGTCAAAAAATTGTGGAATATTATATTGAGCGACAGAATTATCTAGCATATTCAGAACATGTGTGACAGTACTGTTGAATATTTGATTTTTTGAGGTATTGTTTTTTCCGAATTGCTTCATTCCTGAGGTATGCAGGTCAATGTTTATACTATTTTTTTCAATTAAAAGTTTGTATTCAACTTGCAATAAATATATGTACGCATGTTTGTTTGTTCGGGTGGAATTGGATTGAGCTGAAATTTTGTATACACGTTTAGTTTGGATGACAATGCACGATAAGGTGTGTGCCGTTATTCTAAATCCAATATGGGGGACCATCCAAAATGGCGGAATAGTTATTTTCAATGCACTTCTACAATATGGGTATCAAATGAAAGGGTTCGGTGAGAGCGACTCGAAAAATAATGTGACGACATTCTAAATCCAATATGGTGGACCATCCAAGATGTCGTAATAGTTATTTTCAATGCGCTTCCACAATGTAGGTATCAAAGAGCTTATTGAGAGTAACTCGAAAAATGATAGAACGTCATTCTTAATCCAATATGATGGCGGACCATCTAAGATGATAGAAAGGGCTTGCCGAGAATAATTAGAAATAATGTGACATAACTCTGAATTCAATATGTCGCACTTTTGAAGTTTTTTGTGCTTTCCAATAAAATGAAAAGGTTTGCTGAGAATGCAGGTTTAAAAAAATCGATTTTTATACCTCTAACATCGATTGGAATTGGCGAGATGGGTGTCATCAGCATTGGTCTGCAACCTGTCTAGGAGGAGGACAACTCCAAAATCAAACGCATAACTGTGTTTCGTCAAGCACAAAGTCAGCGATAACCAAAAAGTAAAAAATAAATTGAAATTAAAGAAAACTTTGAAGAAAGCTTTTATTTAGATGCTCTAAAAAGAGGAAAATGAAATGTTCCTTTTAAATTTTAACTATCAACTTACACCATTTATATGATCTTTGAAGCTGGTCGCGATGGTCAATATTTAATTGAGTCGAAATTTTAAAAAATTAAAAGATTTCACATAATCAAATTAGTACTAGTTCATTTACATATCAACACATGTATATTTACATCATCTCAACCTACTTTTCTGTAAGAAAATCGAGGTGAAGTATTGATTACTTCAAAATCTTGATTTTTTGAGGTATTATCAATCGTTTTTTCCTAATTGCTTTCCTCCCATGGTATACGTAAGTATGGAAAAGTATCACTTCTCAGACTAGTAAGGAAAATATAACTGTTTCCTGTTTCTCACCCATTCGATGATGGAACATTTGGCAAGATACCGGGTACGGGGTTGTAGGTGTCTGAAGACCAAGACCTGCCGGTTGAAACATTTACAATATCGGTGAGCAGTTTTGGATCTAAGCCTAGTTTGACTCCTAAGTTCATGGCTTCACAAGTACCAATCATTGTTATACCTGGAATGAAAATAAAGATTCATGATTGAACTGTTTTTAGATCATTTTTCAATGTACCTGTATTCTTCTTCTTCTAATATTTTTCTTATTGACTAACGATTGAATTTCTCTTTTAGATTTTCAATAGTGAAATTTTAGCTGCAGCGATGTTTTGGAACAAATCATCCCATTACTACTCTTTACTACAAATTAATTGGAAAAAATGTGTGTTTTGTCTCAAAAACCATTTTGATGAAATGAATCTGGAGATGAATCACGGGATTTCAAGGTTTTGAGAGAATTCCAATTTTTTCAGCATAACACAGGCCAATGGATATAATCCTGGTCCCTAGGATAGTCTTTACTTCCTTTTGGTGTATAAATAACTACTTTTCTGTGACGATAAAATAGTTTGGCATTTCATCTCTGTTGGCAGGTTATAAAATGTCACTTTTCATAAATTACTTTTTTCCCGTAATAAAAAAGTGAGCACTTTTCCGGATATATATCACATATATATACACTGTTGATGGCTTTTGTTGTTCTATGGTTTCGAAAAATGAGTCAATAATACCGTCTCCGAGAAAGAACTGAAGAACTGAGTCCTTATCTTCCATTCGACTTCGCGGTTACGTATATTACTGATCAACCACTGAATTCACAATTTTTTTTAGTCAAATGACAGAATTAGACTGACAGGAGTGACATCAGACATTCGATTATTTCAAAAGAATGATAAAGATGCCTACAACGCACGGTGTCCCTACTGTTAAAAACATAAAATTTCACGTCGATAATTTTCAGATTTCAAAATAATGTAATATCTTCTCAATATTGATTCATCCTTTCTTCTGTCACAGAAAAAAATAGAGCATTATATACGGGAAAAATATTAGATTTCAGATCACACAACCTGGAGCAAACATCTGCTACTTTTTTCCCTCGTATAATGAATAACTATTATTGACTAGTGGTTTATAATATAAGGAAAACTATCTTGATAGGAAAAGCACACTTCACGCACTCAAAAGAGTGAATAATGGTAGTAATAGCTGTAGATCCAGCTAGTCATGAAAAATAGTATATTATTCAACGAGCGCATAATGATGGCTATTACCCACGAAGATGAAAGTTGCAGTACGAGCCGAAGGCGAGTGCTGTAATCATTTATCTACAACTATTCAAATATCACAGCAACTCTGAGAGTTCAGAAATATATCTTTGGAAAAAATGAAGATTATTATATTGCAAAATTACTGAATCTGATTTCAAATACTCATTATTTTCATCGGAAACTTATTGACAAAAATTTCATTCAACGAACAGCTCATAACTTATTTCAATAATTTTGATTGCGAAAATATGATAAACAATATTGGATATAACTTTATTATAATCACATATCAGTCAATCTCACCAGGTATTATATGCCATTTCACTTTTCAGTTGTAAAATGAATCATACTATTGCAGATTATTCATTAACTTGCTTCCGCTGTAGCGTTCCCCCACCGCGATGATTAATTGTAGTACCCTGTCTCTAGAAGCTAATTATCAACAATAAAATTCCATGATAGTTCTGATTGGTCTGTACTGATCTATTCGAATAGCCTGTTAGCGTGATAGTGTGAGCAAATTTGCAACTGTCAAGTTCAAGTATCAAGTCCTATTTTATGGTTATGGTTACTCATGATGGTAGTCACTGTTGAGGAAGGAAAACAGTGAATTCTCATTTTTCCGTGTATTTGTAGAATCGAAGTGACTAAAACTATGAGAACCATGCATGTAAGGTGAGTCTTTTGAATTTGCGAACTAGTAGAACGAATACCTTCCTATTTGAATTTGACAAGACGATGGGATGTCAGATTATTACGCCACCCTACTGTCATTGTTACTCTTATTACTTGATTAATCACAATAATGTCTGTCATTAAATGTTGAAAATCGAGTAAGCAATGAATGAATGACTCCATAGTTGTAGATAAACAATATTTCCCGGACTTCTTGTTGTTCAAATCATTATTTTCATCATCTAGCTAGCTACTTACCTAAAATAAGATTATTGCAAAGTTTGGCGATCTGGCCTGCCCCGATGTCCCCGCACTTGAAGATCCGCGCGCCCATCTTCTCCAGGACCGGCCTCGCCTCCGCCAGGTCGGCGTCGGCGCCCCCCACCATGAAGGTGAGGGTGGCCGCCTCGGCGCCCGTCACCCCGCCCGAGACGGGGGCGTCGATAAACCGGACGCCGCTATCGGTGGAGAGGCGCGACAGCTCTTGCGCCATTTTCGGCTCGATGGTCGAACAGTCGATCAAAAGAGCTTTTTTGGGCATACCTTGGAACAAAAATTGAGAAAAATTATGATAGATTGAGGAAAGTTGAGTAAAACTTATAAAAACTGATAGAAATGGAAAACATTGATGACGATTCATAAAAATTTATAAAAACTGAATCAAATTGATAAAAACTCATGAAAACTGATCAAAAAAATGAAAAAAACTGATAAAAACCAATACAACCTGATAAAAACTGATAAAAACTGATGAAAACTGATAAAAACTTATAGAAACTGATGGAAACTGTCAAAAACTGATGAAAACAGATGAAGACTGATGAAAATCGATGAACATTCATTAAAAATGATTTATAAGAGTCGATATATATTTATAAAAATTAGAATGAGTTGAAGTTGTAGGTCCCGCTCTTCCTATCCCCTTAAATCTTAAATTCACCTTCTCATATTAGCCAAACTTAATGAATTATGCCTGAGGATTATTCACTAACCTTTCAAAATTCCCTTCTCTGCCAACAGAGTCTCTTTGACGATATCTCCGGTAGGCAACATCGTGACAACGATGTCAGCATCTCTCGCCGCCTCCTCTGCTGAGCTGCATTGCTGAGCCCCTGAGACGCTGGAGAGCGCTTCTGGCACGATGTCAAACACCTTGATCTGCTGGCCCTTCTTGACCAGATTGTTGGCCATCCTGGTGCCCATTTGGCCCAGGCCAATGAATGATACGTTACTCGCATTCCTAGCTGCAATAAACGATTGTTTCGTATATTAACAGGGTGTTCATGATTTTTAACATCAATTTTGAGAGGCCGTAGTGGATAGCAAAATGAAGGGACATCTGATCTGGTTTCCATTGGCGCTGTTGATTTTCCATTCCATCACTTCTACTCAATTTCGAAAAATTAAGAAATAATTTATTTATATATGAAAATCATTACACATTGGTGTTGTGCTGTCGACGTCAACCCAAACATAAATGAGAATTCCGCTAATCTCCATTGGAATAATTAATGTTTTGCAATGTATCACAAGTTAATATACAAAATGATTTCGAAATAAGTACATATACTTTCAACCTCGTATTTAAGATTAGATTGAACGATTCAATAACTCATTTTTAGGGACTGCTCAAATGGACCAGAGGGTCTATATATGAATGGAATCTGATGAATGGAGGTCAATTTTCATGATAAACTCAATAGGGAGAACCGCATATCGATATCTATCATCAATATTTCCCAAAAAAATCTACATTTTTGAAATATAGTTACCTTGTAAGTAAGTCTAAAATGATTAATGAAATCGACTTCCACCAGCAACATCATCAGTTCTCATATATCTCAAATAAAAAAGGAACTATCCCTTAAAAAGTGTTCAATTTTTCCCAATCCCATCTCCCTGTGCATAAAATTCGATGAAATCAGAACACCCTGTATATTGAACTCATTATTGTTATACAGGTTGATGAAATTTCCAATATATTGAAAGTATTCTGAATAACGATAAATTTGATCTCAAACATTGAACAGAAATATTTTTACGTACGCCACTTCAACAAAACCAAATTTGTTAAGGAGTCATCTCAGAATTGCTATAATGTGGAACTTCTGGCATTTTGATCCATGAATTTTTCGATTGTGTCATATTTGATATCGAATCTTGAAACGTTCTGATGGATATTGAAGTGTGTACCTAGTTATTTTAATTTCAACTCATCGAGTTAACTTTGAAAGACATCAGTGTATTTGCCACAGTTTTGATGGATTGGCTCATACTTTCTATTCAAACAAATAAACCCAAATCACAATAATCACCTTGTGATATATCTATACTTATCAGTTATTTCTTATATTCTCAGCGTCACACCTCTAATAGGAAATCATTATGTGCGTATAAAAACTTTGTTGAAATCAAGTAATTAAGAAATGACCTGGTAGAATTGATGATTTTATTCTGGATAACCCTGTACCTACAATGCGTGTTGTTTTTGAGACCTAATATAAGATCTCCGTGTTTACTGTACTAACCTGTCTGTGAATGTGATTTTTCAAATTTACTTACTTTGGAGTGTTCGTAAGAAAAATCTAGCTGTTTTCAACGTCATGACGACTGGTGGTGGACACTATTTTCACTCTCTACACTCTACACAAACAACTGAATAACTGATAAAATGTTTTTGTAGTGTACTGATACTACACGTTTTCTACTGATCACGTATTAATATTCACGGTTTCGTTATTTCATATCTGACCTTCAGGATACCGACGTATGAATGATATAATGGATAAATTATCGATAATAGGAGCTAGGAGCGTATTATATCCATTTAATTCATGTTTCATGATTCAATAGCTGTCATATTCATTCAAAATAACTTGAGGAATAAAGGAAATACTTATGTTCCCGATTTCATCGAGATGACAAGATGAGGACAATTTTCACAGATTAATTCTAAGAATAGCTACCATCTAGTGTAGGTTAGTTAACTTGGAATATTTTTTTCGATTATAAAGTTATTCTGGAGTAAAAATACACTTGTACAGTATGTCCCACTGCTTCGATAAATGATTTCGATTTATTTTCATGCAGAATATACTCAAAATTCGATCTACTTTCCTGAGTTATCAAATATTTCATTGCAATATTCTGCGGCCACTGTGATCGATTGTAAATTCGAAAATTCACTTAGTAATATCAGGCAATTTTTTTAGCAAAAAACTGATATTATCAGTATTTTAGAAACTGCTAAACACGTTTGTTTCAATTTTCACGATGATCATATTATACAAGGCGTTTTTATTACGAATTATCTATTTTCCGTGTGAAAACAATAATTTGAAAAGTATGAGAATATCATAGCAATCATAATATTCTATACGGACAGTATTTATATATTCTGCTGATACTCTTAGAATACTGATTCAGTTCAGTTTCGTTGTCATCATACACAGGATGTTGTTTTTTTTTACAATCACAAGAAATTGATTCGTTCGTGAAACGAATTCCGAAATCGGTCATCAAAAATGAAAATACGAAGGAAGGTGCAATATGAAACACACTGTAGACAAACTCATGGAGATGAAGCATATAGATTATCTTCTGTAGTCTATGGATATACTAGGTGTCATATAAATTGATGACCCCTTGCTTATTGTGACCGTATCTTCATTTTCAAATGGGACAACCAACACCCAGTCCCATCAGTATATTTGGGATTATTTTGAAATGATTCTTGGTTGTTAGTAAAAGATAAAAGCATACATACCCTCATTATTTGTCGCTTTTAGCAGTCCACATTTATAGTTTTCCAGAATCATTATCAAGAATCTAGAGTACCAATAGCTTGGAAAATGTAATTTAATTTTTAATTTCAGAATTTCAAGGTGAACCAACGTTTTCTTGCAACCAACACGAAAGTTGTCCATTTTAATACCAACATTAGCTCTTTGAATTGATTTTTCTATTACTGACACACACATAGGTGAGTTGCTATGCAACACTGAGTCCCCAGGAGCTAAAGTTGAACTTTAGCTCCTAGGAACTGAAAAGGATGTACTAGCTCATCAAGAATAAACAACATTATTATAATTGGTTATTTTGGTTGTGAGGCATACCTGATCGATTTGTTCCTGATTTTGGCAGATATTTCATTTTATTTCTATGCTGGAATATTATATTTCAATGTTTCTGTTTCGATCAGGAAAGCCTTCGAGATTGACATACTCGCTTGATCTGTATTTTATTAATTCGGGATCAGATTGATTAGATGACTTGTTTTTGAATAATCACGGCCAGCAATACTTTTTTGCCTCACACAACGTGTGTATTGTATTGTTCACCTCAATTTGATTACCTTGTCAAACACAGTGGAATATGGAAAGAAATAAATAATCGCTATCATTATTGTTGATATGATTTTTCCTATATACCTGGCACTGGCGCGGTATTTGCTATTAGGGCTGACACCTGATCAAAATTAATTCATCGACTAATCGATTCAATAGAATACAAAAATGGCTCACTCTGTGGTTGTATCCATATCGAAACTATAATTCGAACATCCTTGGAAATTGAATAAACCTGATCTGTAAATGCAGGTAGAATATTCCCACCACAGGGTTATTTGTTGCATTCCATACATATGGCACGCCATCCACGCTTCGGGTATAGTATTGAATCCGTGCCTGTAGTATATGATGATGCATGTCAACACAACTTGTAACAAAGTAAAGTTATCGTCCACCAATATTCTAATGTGGAGTAGTCTATATTATTGAAATTAAGGTATTACAATAGTCTGTCAAGTAAGTCACATTGGTGGTTACTTCACATATTTATTGTAGTTAATTCTTTCGGTTGCAGAAAAAATAGCATGTTTCATTATGATCAAAAGTGACTTTGTTTGACTCGCAAATTTTACTTTCGCTCGGCTTCGCTGGCTGCTCCGCCTCGCAAATGCAAAATTCGCTTGTCTAACCAAGTGCCACTTTTTTGATCCTAATTAAATTAACTACTATTTTTTTGAGATTAACTTCGGAAAATCTAATGATCAAAATTGCGAACCAACTCAATATTTTCTGGCAAATAATAACCTTGAATAATTTCAGATAGATACGTGGAGGTGAAACAATTATTATTCAACAGTTAATCGTTGGGAAACTGTACAAAGATGTGTTGCTCTTATCTCTTTAGCTCAATGTAAATATTAACATTAATTTCAACATCTTTGTTATCATGGCACGAGTAAATATAATAAATCAGAATTACCCGTTCATTTTATGAAGAGTTATAAAAACTATCTAGCACAAACTCATGAAAATGTTGTCAAAGTCACTCGAAGGAAATCTAAAGTATCTCATGTCCACTGATTAACGTTACTCATTCAAATGAATTATTTTTTCAATGCAAATAATCCCGATTTCTAGAGAACTGTATCCTGTATCAACCATTTCTAATATACCCACTCAGATTTAATCAAATTGACACTTATTTATAGTTTCGTTTGATTTTGGTAGTAGTAGTAGTAGTAGTGTTTATGTACTCTTTTGGTGTGTATGTACAGGGTTATCCATTGAAAAGATTCACCCCTATATTCACCTTATATTTCATGAAGGAGAAAAAAACAATATGTGGAAGTTGACTGCCATGTCTGGCATGACAAACCAAATCGTAGATTCGTGCAAAAAAAACATAAAAAAAAACATATAAAAAGAAGGCTCCATATAGGAAACCCGTCACAGACCAATGCCCTCTTGGCTTTGAACAGGAAGGAGCTGAAACTGGTGGTGAGTCTTCTGACAGGGCACTGCCACCTGAACAAACATCTCAGCACAATTGGGATTGTGGAGGATCCTGAATGCAGATGGTGCCTAGAGGATGAAGAGACTTCTACTCACATCCTCACTGAATGCCCGGCAGTAGTGGCAGCAAGGGATATCCATTTTGGGAGCAGTATCCTGGACCCAGAGGATGTTATACAAATCATCAATGATATTAGTTTTTTAGCATTGTATAACTTCAATTCAGCTAGTTTAATTTCAATACTGTTTGCTTTGATTCTACACGTTTTTTTTTATATTTGGTTGTCATTCTGACTTCAAAATTGTCAACACTTTCATGTCGAATGCCACAGTCAATAAGACATTTATTATTGTGCCTCTCTATGCATTTTACAGTTCCAACTGTAGATTAGGAGGTGTTTCGAAAAAAATTCTTCTCTGCTCAATTTACAGTTGCAACTGTGAATTAGTGCTAATTTACGGTTGCAACTGTGAATTAGTGCTAATTTACAGTTGAAACTGTAAATCAGAACAAGAGAACTTTTCTACACATCTCCTATTTTACAGTTGCAACTGTAAACTAGAGTCTCACAGTCTCAGCGCATCGCACGCTATCGAAGAATGAAAGCTCCCCATGTCTGGTAGTCTGATGAGAAATTGTGAGAACTGAAACTGTGAGACTCTATATAATTTACAGTTGCAACTGTAAATTAGAACAAGAGAATTTATTTTTCTACACATCTCCTAGAACAAGAGAACTTTTTTTCTACACATCTCCTAATTTACAGTTGCAACTCTAAATTAGAGTCTCACAGTCTCAGCGCATCGCGTGCTATCGAAGAATGAAAGCTGCCTATGTCTGGTAGCCAGGTGAGATATTGTAAGAACTGAGACTGTGAGACTCTAATTTACAGTTACAACTGTGAATCAGAACAAGAGAACTTTTCTACACATCTCCTATTTTACAAATGCAACTGTAAATTAGAGTCTCACAGTCTCAGCGCATCGCGTGCTATCGAAGAATGAAAGCTTCATATGTCTGGTAGTTTGGTGAGAAATTGTGAGACCTTAGACTGTGAGACTCTGATTTACTGTTGCAACAACTGTAAATTAGAACAAGAGAACGTTTTACACATCTCCTAATTTACAGTTGCAACTGTAAATTAGAGTCTCACAGTCTCAGCGCATCGCCCTATGTCTGGTAGTCTGGTGAGAAAGTATGAGAACTTAGACTGTGAGACTCTGATTCACAGTTGCAACTGTAAATTAGAACAAGAAAACGTTTTACACATCTCCTAGTTTACAGTTGCACAGTTTCAGCGCATCGCGTGCTATCGAAGAATGAAAGCTGCCTATGTCTGGTAGTCTGGTGAGAAATTGTGAGAACTGAGACTGTGAGACTCTAATTTACAGTTGCAACTGTGAATTAGAACTAGAGAACGTTTTACACATCTCAGAATTTACAGTTGCAACTGTAGATTAGAGTCTCACAGTCTCAGCGTATCGCGTGCTATCGAAGAATGAAAGCTGCCGATAACTGGTAGTCTGGTGAGAAATTGAGAGAACTGAGCATGTTAGACTCTAATTTACAGTTGCAACTATAAATCAGGTGATGTGTTGAAAAAGTTATCTCGTTCTAATTTACAGTTGCAACTGTAAATAAGGCAGAAGGATTTTTTTTTTCAAAATATCTCCTAATTTACAGTTGCAAATGTAAATAAGGAGGTGTTTTGAAAAAAAGTCTACTCTTCTTAATGTACAGTTGCAACTGTGAATTAGTGCTAATTTACAGTTGCAACTGTAGATTAGGCAAATGTTCGAGAAAAAAAAAGTTTTTATAGGATGGCAGTTCAGACGTAAGACGTAAGTAACAATCAAAATCCCTCTGTAGGGTTTGACTCGGGTTTTGAACGGGTGAAAAATGAAATTCAACCTTTCGCATTCACCGAAAAACAAAAAATTCCAAATCCGGTGGCATCCTCAAACAAACACCAAACACACCACACCAGCTAAGCCAAACAAACATTTGCGCTCTCCATACGCACACGGCCGCCCCACTATGCAGGTGTCGCGATAAGACCCGGCATGACGTCATCGTCGTCGGGTACTTATGCTTCGCGGGCACGACGTGTCGAACGGTACAGGTACTACGCCCACGGCGGCAGGTGACAAAAAAGGTCCGGCGTTCGCTGCGTCGAGGTGGTGCACCAGGACGTGGTGGAGCTACGGAGATGGCGTCCGAAATTTTGGGTACGCGTTGGATGCGGTGATGGAACCAAGAGGGTGA